TATATATATATATATATATATATTATAAAAATTAAAAATTTAAATTATATTTTTATTTATATTATATATTAAATAAATTATTTATATTTAGATTTAATTAAAATATTATAAGTTATTTTAAAAATTATTTTTAATTTAATATTTTAATAATAAATATATTTAATTAAATTTAAGTTTTATAAATTTAAATAAACTTTTCCTTTTTTATATAAGTCTTATAATAATTACTTATTAGTTTTTACTATAGTTAATTATTTTACTTCCTTTATTTTCTAGGACGCGAGCCTTCGTTTCGTTGACATTAGAAACGTCCTATCCAACTCACGAAGATGCCGTCCTCTGAGGCGAGTGTCCATTGTTCTTCACCTTCGGAATGGGAATGGGTCTATGCGGATGAACTCCTTTCCCCAGATGGATCACAATCACCGCGCCGCCCGCCGAATGGAGACCATGTCTCTCGAGTTATTGTCGGCGCCCGCCTAGGAAGGGATGAATTCTATCGGGGGGATTGCGTCCTCCTGCGAGCGGAAGGTTCCGGACCGCCGTGGGTAGCCATTATCCGACAGTTTACAACCGACAACCATGGCCAGATGGCCGGCGATTTTGTCTGGTTCTCAAACGAGAAGGAGATTAGGAATACTGCCAGGAAGCGGACGGATTTCCTACCAGTGCGCACAACCTTCCCCCCTGGCGCCGTAGGAGCCATTGCTGACGGTTATGTAGAATGAAATTTATATCTCCCTCTCTTCCGATGTGAACCCTCTTGATGCAATTGACGGCAAGGCAAATGTGGTCTCTTTGGATCGATTCACTGCGTTGTATCCCTCTGGAAAGATTGCCCCACGCTCCCAAGACGCAGGCAGATTGTTTGTGTGCCGGCGAGGCTTGGACATGAGAACGACTGCCTATACGGATGAGTTTATCTGGGAAGATAAGTACCGTGGGATTGAAGATCTTGATTACTTGATGGAGTATGTGGCCAAGTCCACGAAAGAGTATCGAGGACTTGCTTCTAAAAAGCGCAGAGAATGTTCTGCACGGGGTAACCCTGTGGAGGGCCCCGTTGGAGAGCAAATCACACCCCGAAAGCGCCAATTGAGCCCCTCATCTCCGCAACGAAGGTTTGTCCAGACCGTTATAGTTTGTGTACTGGGATCTTTCCGAGGCTAAACAATTGGCAGTAGATCGTCAAATAAAAGATCATTGGAGTTTACTCCGCTCTCCACACGACAGGTTTCGATCACCGATCCCGCCACCTCTTCGTTCCAGGCAGCGAGAAGTCGGCTTCATGTTGCGTCGGTTCCTACAAGCTTGCCTTGTAGGGAGAAAGAGTTTAATGAGGTGTACCTTCATTTGCAGAAGGCGATATCTAACGGCTCGAGTAACTGCATCTACATATCCGGAACGCCGGGGACCGGGAAAACTGCTACGGTTCGAGAAGTCATCCACCGCCTCGAGCATGCCGTCGAAGTTGACGAGCTGGACGACTTCATCTTCGTGGAAATTAACGGCATGAAGATAACGAATCCCCACCAATCATATGTCATGCTCTGGGAGGCTCTGAAGGGTGATCGTGTGAGCCCGAGTCAAGCATTGGATCTCCTGGAGAGAGAGTTTAGCCATCCAAACCCTCGGCGTGTGTCCTGTGTGGTTCTGATGGATGAGTTGGATCAACTCGTGACGAAGAACCAGAGTGTCATGTATAACTTCTTTAATTGGCCCTCGTTACGCCATAGTCGCCTCATTGTCCTTGCCGTCGCCAATACCATGGATCTGCCAGAACGCACACTAAGCAACAAAATTAGTAGTCGCCTAGGTAAGAATATGGCTTACTACAAATGCCTTGGCTTCACTAACAACCCCTTGCAGGCTTAACAAGGATCGCATTTCCAGGATACACGCATGATCAGCTTGTCCAAATCATTCAATCCCGATTAGAAGGTGTACCAGGCAAGGTGGTCGATCCAGATGCTATCCAGTTTGCAAGCAGGAAAGTTGCCGCCGTCAGCGGTGATGCGAGAAGGGCTCTGGATATTTGTCGACGGGCGGTGGAGCTGGTCGAAACTGATACTTTCGCCAACGGTCCCATGTCTCACAGCAAAGCATCGCATGAAAACAAGAACACCAGACGGGCCACCGTTTCTATATCCACAATTAAAAGAGCTATTAACGAAGCCACCTCTAACCCAACCCAGCAGCAACTCCGATCTCTCCCGCTCCTCTCAAGACTACTCTTAGTCGCTATCCTAGGGAGAATCAAAAGATCCCGGAGCGCAGAGACGACTATTGCCGATGTGATGGATGAAATGTCGCTCCTTCTTAGAGCATCCTCAACGCACCGGGGAAATGATGCCGTGGATGCGGTGGCGAGTCTAATCTGCGACGGACAGATGGATAGCAGCCCCCAGGCTAGCGCTCTAACCCCACGGCTCGCTGGCTTCGGACATGCAGCCCTAGAGCTGGAGACTGCCGGGATAATCATACTGGAAGAACACACGCCGAACCGGCCTAGCAAAATCCGCCTCGCATTCTCCGAGGGCGAAATTAGGATGGCTTTCCGCGATGACCGTGAAATGCAACAACTCGGTATAAAGCCTTGACGCCGGCCAATGGTAGTAGTATGAGTCGTCGCGAAACCCGAATTCTCCAGGTAAAGTTCGTGCCGCCCATTGCGAACTAGAACTTGCGCCTTGATAAACTTGGTGTCCAAGAAACGGGATGTGTTTCCGGGGTTGCGGTTTCGTCCTGTTTCCAGATTTTGACTAAGAAGAAGAAAGCAAACAGCGTTAGTGTGTTGTGCATTACTCGAGGAGAAAGTTGGGCAACCTACTCGTCTTGTCTGCCTCGCCACATATAAGTCGCATGCCGGATTGGTCAAAAACAGCGCTCATGATACCCGCCTCAGCGTCGAGAGAACCTGGTTGTGCGGTGGTGTCTAGTGACTGGAACCTGTAGCCAGATTTCCAGTCCCAGAAACTCATTGATCCATTATCCCCTATGGGACAAAATGTCATTAGTAAATGCCCTCGTGTGATATCACGGGTAATACTAGAATTGATCTTACCCCCAGAAAAAAGGACATTGTCTGCATTTGCGCACAACGTGTTGATAATGGCATTATGACCCTCGAAGTTTTGCATGAAAGTACCCTCCGGGCATTTCCATTGCTTGATACTTCCTGTACTTGCCGAAGCAAAGGTAAATTCTGTCGGATGGAGGGTAAGAGCCCGCACGCCCTTTTTGTGGTGAGTTAGGACGCCCATGGTTTTGCCAGCCGCTAAGTCCCAGAGCCTAACCGTAGAGTCGAGAGAGGATGTGATCACTTGAGGGTCGGCCTCCTGACACCGAAGATCCGAAATCGTTCCTGTGTGGCCGCCGAGGACGTGGATATTACTTCGAGTTCGCATGTCCCACACCCTTGCAACACCGTCCCTCCCCCCCGTCACCAAAACGTCAAGCGTGGGGTGCAAGGAGAGAGCATAGACACCACTGAGGTGACCATGATAGTGTCGTATGACTTTGTTTGTCTCAAGATCCCAGCACTTGACCATCTTGTCCTCGCCGCACGAGAAAAGGTATGGGTGACGAGGTGAAACGGCGAGGCCGCGGACAGTTGATATATGGCCTGTAAGCGTGAGACGCAGGGTTCCGGTTGCTAAATCCCATATCTTAATTGTCCTGTCGCCCGCGCCACTAGCAAACCACTTGTTGTCCGGCTCTACTGCAAGGCTTCTGACCCAACCGAGGTGGCCCGAGATAACCCTCATAAGTTTCCAGGGGGCATGCCATTCAGGCCTAGGTTGAGTCTGTTGTCGGGTCCCTGAGACTAGAGACCGAGATGGATCGTGATTAGACCTCACCCTGGTTCCATTTTGCGTGCCAGCGTGGAGTGTCACCGCTGATGAAACGGGCTCATTGGCGGCCGGGGGTATATTCGACAGTGCTGGCTTGCGGACTGCAGTCGAGTTACTGGCGGTTGGAGGCTTCCTTCGAGAGGTAACTGATGGTTGTTTCGCCGCCAATGCTGGGGGGAGCGCCACAACTTGGGCATACTCGGCGCGCAAGGTCCCTCCGAGTGGTGGATGTTGAGGCTTGTCAGCCTCGGTAAACCCAAGTTTCCGTCGTTTTCCTTCAGGTTGATGACTGAACCATATCTGACGGCTTTTGAAGTTCGTAGACGCTAGACTCGCTAGGTCCGAAGAAGACTGGGATTGCTCATCCATCTCATCCATCATCTGGCTGGGGGCGAAGGGGGAGGCAGGTGCTTTCGGTAGTGGAAGGAACAACGATGCGATGGCGCCGGTACGGATAGAAATACGGGATGCGTGGCAAATTCGCGACGCCGCAAAGTGCTGGACGGGGTGCTGGGGACTAAAAGTCGAGGACGTGATTTAGGATGCAGTGATGCACAACAAATAAAAACGAAGCTATTGTTCAGGGATTTAAATCTGACGTAATAATTGGTTCTGGAGTTAACCACCACCTTTGGTCCTCCCTCGACAGCGATCTCGAGACCACCCGATCCTGATCTTGTTCATGGAGTCAGTCCTGAAAAGCGAACATCTAATTATTTGACCCTTCAATCCTATTGAAAATAACACACCCATTATGGCTGATGCCTCGCCGTTTGCGCTCCATGAGGCCGCACGGCTAGGGAATGGTATTGTATCGTCACAGGCCTTCCTGCTTCTTGAACTAATGGTGTGTTAGTATCCCAAGCTGAGCAGCTTCTCAAGGTAAGTCGGGAACTTTCTCCTTAGATCGTCTGAGGCTTCAAAGCGGGCTCCTTCTATTTGTTCAACTTCCGACCCACTCACGACTCTCAAGTACGCTCCCCGACAAGCATCAGCGAAAGACGCCGATGGTCGACTGCCCATTCACTGGGCGGTTTCCGCCAACAGTACCGAGATTGTCCGTTTGTTGGCGGAACTCCGTGACTTTGACCCGGACGTTGAGGTTAGTTCCTCGAAGTGTCGGCCCTGGTCGTGTGTTAAATTGTTACAATGTATCATTTCAGGACGATAGTGGTTGGTCTCCCTTAATGATTGCGGTCAACGTTAAGGATTCAGAGGAAGTCCTCTCCATCCTCCTTGCAAAGGAGGCCGATGTCAATCAACAAAGTAGGCGATAATTAATGATGCCCTCGATAGCTGAATCGAATACGATGAGAACTAATAATGCATGGTATATGTAGATCACAATGGGCAGGTAAATCACCCTCACGTCCTTGCACGTCCCTGGTTAAGAGTCCTCTGCCAACAATCCATGGTATAGACTGCCCTCCATTTGGTCGCCTCCAAAGGAAACCTTGACGTAGCCCGAATTCTGTTCCGGCAACAACCCCCGGCATCCGCTAGGGTTCGGGACAAGCGCGGCCAGTATGCGATTCACCGAGCCGCTGCGGCGGGGTCAACACCCATGATCGCGTTGCTTCTGAGTCATAGGAGCCCAATAGACGCGACTGATAGCTCGGGGTACACTGCCCTGCATCATGCCATTGCAGAGGGCCACGGTGAGGCTCGCCCGAAGCAATAGGCAATAGGTGCACGCTTTTTGACCGTTCTATATCTGACCCTAAGTTGTTGGTAGGTGACGCAGCCGTTGCACTTCTAAAGGCGGGGGCAGACGCTAGCAAACGAGACAACGATGGCATGCTTGCGATTGACCTGGCGCCTGACAAGGAGGTTAGAACATCCAGGGACCTATGGCCCGGCATGGTACTAACTAGACCGGAAAATAGGTCCGTCGATTTATCCAACGTCAAGCCGAACAAGAGGGTATTGAGATTTAGCTCGTCGTGAGGTGTCTAAGCCAAACAGGATTGATTGTCAGGGACCCATGACACTTGGCCATGTTAGTCCCATCTACCGGACTGTGCGCTCCACCAACTCGCGGTACATAGCTTTCACGTCCTGGATATCCGCGCGCAATTCCTCCACCAACTCGCTCTTCTCACCAAGCAATTCAAGTGTTGTCAAGTACCGCTCGTTGATTTCCGCCACCTCCTTCTCAAGCTCTTGTGCACGCGCACTGGACTGCTTATAAGTTTCTATCTCCTTCATCAGAGACACAATCTGGGCACGGGCATCGTCCCGTTGGTTAGATATGCGTAGCAATTCCTCCCGAGTTGTAACTTTTTCGGTTTCCAATCGCCGGATGCCAGCACTCATTCTCTCTACCAGTTGTATCGATGGACCCGCCGCCATTGTCGAGACAGATAACATGTCTTGTGTTCCGCGTCGTGGGGAGGAGATAGCATCGACCGCCTCTTCAAATACTCCATGACTATCATCGGTGTTGATGATCCCCGCAGTTGTGTTCGATGGTACTCCCTGTTGCTGTGTATATATACTAGGCGATGTAGGGGTAGCCGGGGATCCTGCAGTTCCGTGTGACAGAGCCGCAGAGAGATTGAAACTAGGTCGCAAGCTCTCAAAATCCGGGCCGTTTGATGCTGAAATCGTCGGTAGTGCTCGACTGATACCGTCCGAGTGGGAACGGACAAAGCTTAGTGTGCGCTGGGGGATAGTTTTTGGGGAGAGACAATAGACGGCCTCGGCGCTTGGAATAAGAGTAGAGGCGTGAGCATCACGACCAATATTCTCACATCCGCTGTCACTTGGCTCCGGTTGTTCTTCACTCGTCAGTCTACTTGTTTGGTTACCACTGGTGTCCACCAGTTCTACTTGTTTCTGTAGGTGTGCAAGTTGCTTCTTGACTACTTCCACCTCATCTCGGTAACTCGCAATCTGGGAGCCAGCTTGCTGCAGCTCATCGGATTGCTGTCGGCACCGCGACGACTGAGACGACAATGGTTAGTTTATTTTTCGGAGATATTGAGCCCAAAGGAGTTTGCCTTACCAGATCCTTTGCCTTCTTCCTCAATTCTGTTTCCCTGCGACTTATTTCATTCCGTTCCTCCTCCAGGGCTGCGACTCGGGAGAGTAGGCTTGCTTCGATCCCCTGCCAGTTTTCGCTAGCGACGGCATGCTGTGATTGAAGGGTCTCAATTTGGCGAAGTAGCTTGGCTTGTGAACCCCCCGTGATATTTGATGTTTCTTCGACGACTATCCGCATCGCCTCCAATTTATCTTCCAGGTTTCGCACTTCGATGTTTGCTTGGAGGCACTGCTCCTGGGCCGCTTCGGCCTTGCGCCGAAAATCATCAGCTTCCTTGTGGGCGTTGCTGATGGTACGGGCTTTCTCGGCCTCTAGTGCTGCCAGGGCACCCTCTAGCTCCCGAATACGTAGCTGCGCTTCTTCGGAAGCCTGACTGTCGGGATTTGAGTTGGGAGGGCCCAGGGACATCGCCGTCTTCCCGATCTCCGCCTTTAATCGACTGATTGTTTCATCCTTGTCGGCGGAGTCCACTCGAAGACGAGCCAGTTCCTTCCGTGAGTCGTCGTACTTCAGACTCAGTATCTCAAGCTCCGCTTGGAGCTCATCATTTCGAACCTCGGACTTTGTCAGTAAGTCCAGTTCCGACACCAACTTTTCGTTATCTGCCTTCAAGCTGGAAACCACCCTGTCACTTTCCGCAAGTTGTGCTCGCAGCTTTTTTATTATTGAGCGGTGCTTTCTTTCCGTGGCGGCTAAAGACTGGCCTTCTGTCATGAGCAAGCCGATTTTCTCATCCCTTTCAGATAGTAACTGCTCGACGCTTCCTGCAGGAGCCGCAGCGGCAGACTTTCGCGCCGATTCTGTCATTTCACCAGCTAGATATTTCAGTTTGGATTCAAGAGCATCGGCTCTCTCTACTTGCTCATACTGCTCTTCACGATTTTGAGATTCAAGCTGGACTGCCCTGGCTTCAAGGAACGCGATCCTATCACGAAGTTCACGGCAGGAAGAGCATGAATGGGACGTGCTTTGAGGGTCACCAATTTGGTGATCTGGTGCAGTGTCGGGCCCGGCTTCGACCAAGGTCAAGACGGCTGGCCTGTCAGAAGCAGACCGCACAGTGCTCATCGAATGCGCAGAGGGCGCATTCTCTAACTCGTCCTGGTCGTTGTCTTCCAAGTTGGCCTCACAGGCGCTACTCTTCTCGATGGGCGTCGGCTGAATTTCAGGATGATTAGATTTTCTGTTGGGTTGAGGCGGGACTGTTGCAGAAGCGACTGGGGTGATGTTCTTCGAAGAGGTCGGCTTCGTTGCCACAGCCTTGTTGAGGCGTTCTTGGAGTCTCGTGCTGGAATGCGCCGAGTTATTGGTGTCTAGGAGAGCAACATAAGCGTAAGCGAATAGTGCTATTTAGTCAAGGGAAAAAAAACCTCCTCACCAGTAGAAGGTCTCGACCGATTTTCGACAGATGATGGGTCACTTGCGGATGCGCGAGGGGAGTTCGATGCTGAATCCCCTTCGGCGAGTATCGTGTCGAGTCGAGCCTCAACGCCAGCGACTGCTTGCTGCAGAAAAGATCCCCATCTAGACGCCATGGCCAGCCTGGAAATTTCGGGATATGGTGGAGGCAAGGTGTAAGATTCCGGTGCTAGTTAGGGACTGGCTCATATCACCCGCAATTCATATTTAGAAACTCTGGGATGGTTTAATCTCGAAAGGTGTTCAAGTGTGCTTATCACGGTACGCCCGTTAGCAAGCCATCATTCCCGAATCCCGACGCAATCCTCAGTGGAGTAATATCAGGCCAAATTATACGGACCTACTGCTGAGGCGAGGGAGGAGACGCATGCACGAAGTACTTCGTAATTCTCAATAAGTGTGTCAAAGGTACTTCTCAACAAGAAGAGAGGAGGTGTAAGTGTCTTTCTGATGGAAGGCAGGAAGTTAGATTTCGCATGTGGGGAGCACTGACGAAGAGCTCTCGTATTGGCAAGCGCCAAGTGTTGACAGTTGGCAGTTGGCAGTCCCAGAGCCAGCAAAGACCAAAGTTGGGCTGATACGGACAATCAAGACCTTTGACAGAGAAATAAACTATCTTCGTCCTCGTGCCGAATCATGGACAAGACGTCATGCTGGGTCCAAGGGGGTTTTGGTACAATCACGTGTTTTGCGGAAACACCAGGCAGCTTTGGGGCGAGTGAGATGAAGCAGCAGGAGCCTATCGCTGATTATTAGTATTCAACATCACGAAGACAATCCAAGCTCAACTCATTGTTTGAAGTCACTCGCTTACGTCAAAGTGCCCGCCTATTATTGCTTTCATTATCAACACCACCCACCCAGTGCGCTCCACAACTGACGTTTCAATCCCACCGTGTGTTCCCAAAACTGCAATCAAGAACTCAGCTCGTTGGCCTTTTTTCTTTCTCGATATACTATCTAGTCTAGTTCTTTAAGCATGGCCATCTCTAATGCCGCCCTCGAAAAGGTATGATGAGAAAGGAAAATTCCGTCCTCGCTCTAGGCGGTGCTTTTGTAAAATGCTGAGACTCAAGTTGTTGCAGCTCATTCGGGAGATTGAGAGCCAAGCTGCAGCCGCCGAGCAGCAGATCAGCCTCTCCCGAGCCCAGGTCACGTCCAAACAGAGAGAAATCCGGCTCCTGAAGTTGACTCTGGAAGAGCTTTCTGGCGTATCGCAGAAGACCCCTACCTATGAAGGAGTTGGCAAAATGTTCGCACATTTATTTTTTATTTCTGTCCCTTGTTTCTTATTGTTGACATTTTGACTGACAATGTTCCTAGGTTTGTCTCTGTGCCACCACCCAAGCTTTGCGAGAAGCTTCGCTCGCAAGTTAAGACTTTGGAAGGGGACGTGGAATCCCTGGGCAAACGACTTGTCTATTTGGAGACTACGCGGAAAAACAGTCGTGAGCATATTGACAAGATGCTAAAACAAGCGCCCGTCAAAGGGTTGGGCGCCAACTGACACAGATCCAAAAACGCCTCGAGTCGTCCGGCGCGTATTTGCATGCATCCTGATCAATCCGAAGCTCATTCCTCAGCCAGTGACAGCCACACAAATTCACACAATGAATGCTGGCGACGGAAGTCCATGGCGGCACCTGATCAGAGGTACCACATTGCGCAATGTTTTCCCCTTCGCTTCTCTTCCTTTCTTTTCCATTTTTTTTCTCCCCTCTTTTTCTTTTTCTTTTACGAAGTATGCGCCATGGAGAGCCTTTCCCCTCCCCGATTACGAGGGCATGATCAGCGCCGTCCTATCAATCATAATCTTCCATCTGCCAGCCCAGTCTACTTGTAGATTCATGCATGTCAGCAAATGAACAAGGATCATTGCCAACATTGCGATGGTGTTACTGCCCTCTCAAGCACCACTGCACCACTATAGCCCCGGAAGTGGAGGGTACAAAACGCAGTACTTTTGATGGCGGTAATGTGCATTAATGGTTGTTTCTTTTACCGCCACAGGGCTGTACACTTGCATGCGCCTAGATTCGATGCATCAAATAATTGGATGCCTCCCCACTCATACTTCCAAGTGACATGCTGCCTTTCACTGGCGCTGGTCACTCCTTCCTTCATTTGTCCGTGTCCATAAAAAAGGCTTCGTCACCCCTCCTCAGTCGAGAAGTCGGCAACCCCTCATTTCCCCCCAAGTTTCTTGACCACAGACCCAGACCTCGAAACCCCAGTTGCGGTGTAGAACGCCCTCTCAGCAGTCATTCTCGTTTTATTCTTGCGACTATGAGTTACTACTCCGATGATGACTCAGACATCGACATTCGCATCGAGCGTCGTCGATCCCCGCCAGTACACTATGTCGACATGCCTACATATCCGCAGCGGCGACCCCGCCATTATTACCCCGCAGATCACTCCCCGGCACCTGTGTATCTCGAGCCAGAACGAACGACTATTATTGCCACCAGGTCTGCTTCTCGGGACCGCTCCCGAGAACGAATGTCATCGCCGCCAAGCTCGCACGCAGTCCCTGTTGTCATAAACAATCGCATTTACAACGAATACTCATCCGACGATGACGACAGCAATCACCGGCTCCAACTTGTGCGCCCGCGACGACGGTCGCGTTCCAGGTCACGTTCGCAATCGGGCCTCATGACACGGGAGGAGTTCGAGATGGAAAGAGCCAGGCGTGAACTTCATGAATTGAAACTGGCGCAAGAACTCGAAGACCGAGAGAAACGTACGGCCAAGGAGCTCCAGGAGGAGGCGGACCTCAAGCGTGCAAAGGAGGAGCTTGATGCGATCAAGCGTCGCCAGGCCCAGGCGGAAGAGGAAGCGCGAATCAAAAAGGAGTTGGAGCTCAAGCGTCTCAAAGAAGAAGAACGTGAAGCCGAAGAGCAGAAACATCGAGAGAAGGCAGCCGAAGAAGCAGTAGAGCGGTATAAGAAGCAGGAGCTTGAGCGCATCCATCGGGAAAAGGAGGAGCATGCTCTGAGAGAGAGAGAATACCAACATCGGTTGCAGGAACAGCTCATCCAGTCCGGCCTCGACGAGCAACAGATTACCGCGATTTTGAGAAAGGAGAGGGTACCCGAACCAAAGCCAGAGCAGCCAAACCCCAAATATACACGGATGGCTCGAAAACATTTGTCTCTGGAAACCCTGAGGACTTTTGACGTTGACTACCTTATCGACGAAGAGGTATGTCTATATGCCGTGCCCGCTTCCCCTTCTTCTCCGTCCTCTTTTTCTTTTTCTTCTTCTTCTTCTATTTTTGCCCAATGCTAATATTTCTTTGCTAGGATTCGAATTATGTGATCATCAAGCGCTGGGTGCCGGAATGGGAGCAGGATGCCTTTTGGAAGCATACTAAACTCGTACGGGAGAAGAGATCCAAATTGATCCTTTCGGTTGACGATAAGAAACACCATCATCACCGTCACCGCAGCTCGGATTTTGAATGGGTGCGGAAGAAGAGTGATAGGAGACGAAGCAAGTCCCCAGCATTGTTGATGTATCTCGCAGGTGCAAGGCCCGCCTAGATGAGCCCAAGTTTGCCTCATCACTATAGTTTAGGATCGCGTGTTTGATGTGTTTTCTGTTTAATACCACTTTCTCCTCGTTTGGCTTTGACAAAGAAGGAAAAAAAAAAGAAATATACTCTATGTTACATGTGTCTACGTATCTGATGGGGGATTGAATAATGGCACCGACATCCCATGATGCATACATCTCAGTCACTCCCTTCTCCAGCGGATGCGAATTAACTCCTCGTACACCGTCCATGCTAGAGCAGAACTCATTGCTTTTCTCGCCATTCGAAGCGCAAGACCGTCAAAGAGAGATCGCAGGCCCTCTGCCGCCACCATCTTCCTGCACGCCTGCATCATATTGGTATAGCGGTCTGGCTCCAACTGAATCCTAGTTTTGATGGCATCAAAGGGGTTGGATATTAACGAGCAGGTGCCGCCCGCTACAATGGCGGATGTGAAGTTAATGGCAGTGCTACTCTTCCCTGGATCAAGTGCTTTCGAGCCAAGAGCTGCTTGCTGGGCCGTTGATGCCTGGCTCAACCTCTTTTTCAGCCCTTCGTAGAGCAGCACGTACATGCCCGCATAAGGCCCATCCCTAATCGCGGTTGGGCCGAACCCGGAGAAAAATCCGCGAATGCCACCGGCCCTATAGATGTCCTGGGCGGCTCCTCGGATAGTACGATACGAGTACATATTAGACTCGAAACGGACTTTTATTACGGTCAAAGGCATGAGAACCAATCCAGCTAATATCCTGGCTGTCGCGCCAGTAAACAGATTGGCGGTATGTGAGAGAGTCGGCAGCTGAGATGAATGGAAAGCGCTGGTGGTGTGATCACGGAAAACGGAGAACCGTAATGCATTCTGGCGAAGAGAGTTGAGGAGCATGAAATAAAGAGCGGACCCGAACCCCGTGCGTAGAGCTGAGGGTGCCGTACCTCTCCATAGGGCCAAGATGTTGAGCTGGCCGGGGTGAGACCTCACTGCCCCTCTCAAGCTGGTGATGATGGATGGTCTGTTGGGCTGCTGGACTCGGGTTTTCAGTAGATCTAAGGGCTGCAAAAGCACCGCAGATCCTATACCTGACGCCAAGCCGGAGAGAAAGTGTTTTCCTTGGGCTGAAAATGAGAGTTAATGACCAGAACACCTCGTTATTAATCCCGAACTCGGCCGGACACTTACAAGCCTTAGCCTTGGGGACCATCTCTGTGGGTGGAGAGTGGACAGCCGCCACGCTTTGATTATTTTGGCTGGCCCGCATGTCTAGAGCAAAATGTCGAGTTTTCTCTCACTCGCCGACTGCAGAAAATGAGAGGAAAGACTAGAGTCCTTTTCTCCTGCTGTTTCGCGGTTTTTTAAGTCGGTTAAAAAAAATGGGATCGATAATAGTGTTCAGTCGGTCGCGAAAGTCATGTCCATGTCACGCGATGTACTGGCTCGTGTCCTGGTAAGATAAAGCAACACCAGCTCTACCGTCGTGTTTCGTCACTATTCAAGGCCTTCATGGGAGCATGCGGTGGTGGAGCCTGCGAGTGATGAATTCGAGGATACATCAATGAGCAATATTTTATGGGACGATGTTTATTTTATCGCAAGATCATCGCCAAACTACGGCTGAAGAGGTTTAAACCTTACAATCCAGGCTGTCCCGTCCGGATAGCACGGACATGGGGATCCGTCGAGAGAGCATCTGACCCATGATCAAAATTTTCCGAGTCCAAGCTCAGTACTAGGGCTACAAGGTGTGTCGCGGCATTCTACTACGAAGTAGACTCGTTTCTAATCGCATCTGATACTTGATTGTATTCATCTGGCCGAGGCCTTGAAATCCCCGAGGACCGATTCGAGACGGGCAGTGAGAAGACGATGACGCTTTGCAACATCCACCCACTCACTTTCTACTGCTGGTGAGTTCGTCCGGGAACGCGCGCCGAAGAGGATATTCCCAAAATCGCCGCCCAATCTCCCAAGGCTTCCTGCACAATAAAGAACCTGGGTAAGGATGCTGTCTCGAGAGCCCTGGTCACTAACTACGGGGAGGTATCTCCCCAACACTTCAAGCAGTCGGTCTAAGAGGTAGAGGAGAAGAGTAGAAAGGCCATTAGGCAAAGGTTCCAATGGATCGGCTGTATTCAAGTCTTGGGAGATGAAGACGCTCTTGAACATTGATACCATGCCAAAGCTATGCTCGCGAAAAATTTCAATATATCGCTTCAGATATCGTTCCGCATGCTGCCCCCCCGACCACGAAGTATCACCGCCGCCTTGGGCGGCATTGGTCTTATCGTCCTCGGCTAGCTGGCGCAGTGGTTCGAGTGCCTCGAGGGTCAATTCAAGCGTCGAAATTCGTCGGAGAATGAACAAGGTCCCAAGAGTCTTCTCCTGCGCATCTCTCATGGCAAGGGGGAGGATGTCTGGTATTACACGGCGCAGCAAACTGGTTGTTCGCATGGCGGGAGCTAATTTTAGGCCCGGCGAGCCAAGTGACGTGATGAGGTCTGAAGTCAGCTGGAACACGAGGGCGTCCGCCCGCTGGGCCACGGACGCTATGAGGGGTGAGTTGGGATAGAGCGCCCGTAGGCGCCGAACGTGGGCACTTAGGTCAAGCGCAGACGAGTGGCTCAATGACCCACTAGTTATGGTTGTTGAGAGGAGAGTTGGCAGTTCAAATATGTCAACCAATCTCTCCACATTACGGAGAAGTAAAAGATCCCGTCTTCGTTTGGCCATTGTCTCATGCTGGCTGGATTTGCTGAAGGTGCCGGAAAACTGGACAGTCTCTAAATCAACTCTGGGGATAGAGGCCTGGAGCTCCGAGGAACTGGAGCCTAGGCGACGAAGTGACTCGCGCAATGCTTCGTGTTTGGTAATAGACTTGATTATGGGTTGATGGGACCTTTTAGAGAGACCCTGAGTGGTTATGAGTAGGGAATGTGATGACTGCGATAGTGTTGCAACCTCAGTACCGTCGAGAGCTGGTACAGAGAGCCCCGCCAGATGAGCTAGGTACGCCTGGATCTCATCATCGCGATGACCTGACGGGATGTCGAGGATATCAAAAAGTGAGTCGGCCATGTTATCGAAGAGTCCTTCGCATCGTCCAAATCCTCCCAAGTTGGTTGTCGAAAGATACAGCTGTCGGTCTTTGAGAGGAGGCAACGTGGGCTTAGTTTGGGCTTGGGGGCCCGGAAATTTCGGAGTGGTCTTGGTCTTGAGACGAGCGATGACGGAAGCTCTTGATTATCCCCTGGACTGGATGGTGAACAATCTTCAATGGCATCGATCAAACTGGCGACAATCGTCGAACAGGCCAGCCTTACTAAGACATCTAATTGAGCCCTTGACAAGAATACTGCCTGATGGTACCTTGGTACTCAGGTACACTACAAGTATTACTTTGTACACTACAAATGTACTTCGTACACGACGAATACTACCCTTTGACGTCTTTGCCCAACAGAAATTGAGTGGGGCCAGTTCTGGTCCATTCCCCCTTGCCGTTGTCGAGAGTTTAATGTTGGGACGCGGCTTTGGTCCCCCTTCCTAACTCAATACAACCTCATCTTCATATTCAGGGGAATCTGCCCCAATACCTCGGTATCGCGCTGGGATCGAATTTACCATAATAACAGTTATCAGGCTAGAAAAGCCGTGAGTGAAACCACCTCGCCCGGTGGCTGCATCAGCTGGTGCCTGCGCGGGTGCGCGACGCTTCGCCCAAGTCCACCTCGTGCAAGACAGGATTAAGTCTGGGAGAGATCACGAGCGCTAGGCCAACAACCCGGCATAGGTCCCTACAAGACTACGATTACAAGAGCAGACTCTCCCCCTCGATACCCTTCCGTATTTTTCCTCCCCCCCCCCCTCCGAGGGTTGTCGTCTTCCTTTTCCCAAACTCGCAATCGGCCCTCCCAACCCGCCCGCGATGCAAGATCCTTTCATCATCCCGCCAATTCCTTGGCTCCAACGCGCCACCCAGCCCGTCGCTGACTTTTTGTCGTTGCCCTCTCTCCCGCTCCACATCCACGAAGTCTTGGCTGCTAGTCTCCTCTACGGCGTCATATACTACCCGCTCTCCCCGATTCTTTCTCGACTATTTCTCTCTCGTCATTACAACCAACTCTCCCGTGCGAGAAAACTAAATTGGGATGCCCATGTCGTATCCCTTGTTCAAAGCTGCCTCATCAATGCGCTGGCCCTCTGGATAATAGTTGCCGACGATGACCGCAATGCCATGACATGGCAGGAGCGCATATGGGGTTATACGGGAGCCAGCGCTATGGTTCAGGCCCTCGCTACTGGCTACTTCTTATGGGATCTTATCGTGACGTCCCGGAATATGGATGTGTTTGGCCTAGGCACCCTTGCTCATGCGGTCAGCGCCCTGGTTGTCTATACCCTTGGATTTGTAGGTTATCGCCATCAATCTAACTCGGACCCTGATACATTATATGCTAACTTCGTCATAGCGTCCATTCATCAACTATTATGCATGCACCTTTATCCTCTGGGAGCTCTCTACACCATTCTTGAACATTCATTGGTTCCTCGACAAACTAGGAATGACCGGTTCCGCCCTTCAGCTGTACAACGGGCTACTTTTGATATCAAGTTTCTTCTTGTGTCGCCTCGTCTACGGGACTTACCAGTCCTACCTTGTCTTCAGAGATATATGGTCCGCCGTCGGCGCACATCCTGACCTGTCGTATCTCGATGGCCAAGAAGTAGCCACCCACACAATGCGATTTGCAACTAGTGATAGCACCGTGCCTCTATGGCTGGCAGTCTCCTACCTCGCCAGCAACCTGACCCTCAACAGTCTAAACTCCTACTGGTTCTACAAAATGATTCAAGCCCTGTATAAGCGCTTTCAGGTTCCCAGCCCCGAAGTGCAAGGTGGAGAAAAGGCAGTTGGGAAATCTACTGCCATCAAAGAACCGCTTCTGCAGGCGAGACTGCGTCAGGGACTACCTGCCAAAGTCGAGCCGGAACTGGATGTCGTTATCTAGTTGCTGGGAAGGTTGAGGCGATTGGGTTGGCCGTTGATCACTTATGAGATCGGCCCCAGGCGTACGGTCCATGCATAGTATTATTGCTCTAGGAAGTCATATGGGTAGATAGTAATGTACAATGCTTCATCATCTGAGCGAGATATGCGATTATCGTCTCTAGGAATGTGAACAGTTCTCGTGGTTGAAGTAGTTTATTCGCAATATCTAAGGCATCCTAACCGAGACGCCTAGTCTGCGGCGGCGGTGGAACTAAAAAGGCGGGTCATAAACTATGAAGGTATGTCGCAGAAACCCCTTGTTTATCATAACACAGGATGAAGGCTTGTACGTATATACTAGTAGTGTCAATCCAATTCGTAAAGCCACCTGGGAGGGAACCGCCGGAGCGTCCGAGCTTTCCACGGGTGCCAGTCCGGTCGCCTTACCAATTCACCCTCATCTCCCTTGCCTGTACTACTAGAAACCGAACGGATTATCCGGAGCTGAAGAAATTATCAGTATAACAGTTACCGGGACAGCAAAATCCCAACCGGAAGATATATATGGAATAACTTACTTGCATGAGCAAGGTTCGCTCTGCGGCCAGTGGGTTGCGGTGCTAGACGAGGGGCATTTCCTTGAACGCCAAACCGGACAGGTGGCGCCGGGCCAGTTTGTTGAGGGATGAGGGGCGCTGGTGTTACGACTGGCCCTGGTGTTACGACTGGCCCTGGTGTGATAGGCATGCCGGTCCTCTGAGGCTCGAGCGGGGGGGGAAGGAATGTGTTCAGACTAGGAGCCCGCGGGCCCGGGAACTGCTGTTGTGCCGGGAATGCGGTGCTGAAGTTTCCGGGTTGTTGCTGTTGGAGAGGTCCGTATGGTCCAGGGGTTGGCATCGCACCTGGCACGATTGTTTGCGTCAACGGGCCCTGGATCCCGGTGGCAAGAGGTACTAGACCTGGAGTCATGCCCTGCACACCATAAGGAGGTAGCTGGGTGGTGGCCTGGATTTGCCGAAGATACTGATCACGCAGTCGGGCCTGATCGATTTCGCTAAGACTCTGTCCTGGGGGGGCGACCTGGCCCTGGAGTGCAGGATGGACGGAGCCAGTCATTTGAGGCATTAAGGGAGGAGGGTTGAATGCACTTGGCTGCGCAGCCTGGGGTGCGGAAAGTGGACGGGTCGGCGGAGGAGGGGCAAGGGGCCCCTGGCCAACAGCGACTTGGGGAGGCTGTGGACGCTGTCGCGGCGGGCCGGGCTGCGACTCCGGTACCGAACTCAGGGTGGTGAAAAATGAAGGACTGGCTCCTGGGAGCTGGGGAGGGGACTGCGGCTGAGCCGGTATCACGGTCGCTCCCGAGGTTCCGGCATCAGCAACCGCGGTGGACGCTGGCGCCGGGGTGGGCTTTAGTGGCAAGGTTAAAAGAGACAATTCTTGCATGGATCCCGTGATAGCTCCCGAGCGGGACGCGTCTTGTGTAGTATTGGGTTTCTCCGGAGGGGCTACCGCTGGCGTAGGTGAGGGTCCGGCCTGCTGTCTTGCCGGCTTGACATCCCAGGCATCATCGTCAAAGCCCTCGGCCCTGGGTTTCGTTGTCTGCGATCCGGGACTGCTCGCAGTAGCAGTAGGCGTTGAAGACTTCACTTCCGCACCCGTCGCAGGCTCGGTCTGAGAAAATGCCATTGGGTCGACAACATCTCCGGTTTGGACAGCAGGTGCAGGTCGGCTCTTTCTGGTGTTATTACGAAGCGTGCCGCCGGGGCCGGAGAACAGACCGCCTTGCCCGTTAGTATCCGGCTCGCCCGATTCCTTCTTTCCCGACCTGCCAAACTTCGAGTCGAGTGACCTCATTACTTTAATGATATCGCCTTCTCGCAAGCCCAATGTTCTGAGCACCGTCGAATCAACATCAGACAAGATACTCTCATCCATAGACTCTTTGACGAAGGCCTGGGCATATCGCTCGCAGAGTCCCACGTTCACGTCGCAGTCCAGGAAAAATTGGAACCAATCGAAATCCGGCTTCCGCTGTTCTATGGTCGCTCCTAATTTGGAGTTTGCGCTTCTTCCACCCTCGCCGTCGGATCTCGACCTGCGGCCGTTGGGGCCCCTGGTTCCGAGAGAACCCCCGGTGAAGCGTTCCACGAATTCCAAGTCCTCGTGTGACATCTTCTCCACAGGGACTGCGATTTTGACGCCATTGACCTTGTGGAGGTTGATTTTCCCATCCTTGATCCCTAGAAACTGGGCCTCGACACTGAACGATTTCGACCGGTCTGTCCATGTGCGTACTTTGGAAGGGTCGGGTTCTAGTAGATCGTCAGCGATTGGATTATCCGCGTTTGTGCCTACGCCCACGGAGTGAGCTCTTCGTGACATACTGGATTTAGATGCCTTCTGTTGTTGGCCGGAGCCATCTCTACCACCTTCGCGTTTGTTCCTCTGCTGAGAAGAATTACCATAATGTTCATTTGCCGAGAGACTGCTGCCCCTTTCAGGCAGGGGCATTCCTGGCCCTACCTGAGGTGATTGTTCCCTGGCCTGTGCCCTCACAGCCTCTTTGGTCAGTCTAATTTCCTCCAGCCTATTTTGCTCGACACTTGACATCCCTGCAGCGACTCCGTGGAACTCCGAGACGCTAGACGTAAAGCCTGTCACTTCAATATAGCTGCTTGGAACCACACCTTCCTTTCCGGTTCTCATACTTCGTACTTGCCACCATTCTTCGCTCTTCGTATCATCTAGAATGACGACATCGTCCCCGGTATTCACAGTAACTTCGTCGTCTCCCTGGGCCATGAAATCATAGAGCACTTGGCCCGTCTTTTGAGCCTGTCCAGTCGGTGACAGGAGGGCGGCCGGTAAGTCATCCGCCCTAACAGCGGCGGCTAGTTCGCCCAAGGCTGCCACGATTTCCTCGGCCGTGTCTTTAGCACCGGCGTGGAAATCCACACTCTTGCTGGGGCGCACTAGTTCCAAAAAGACGTGTTTTCCTTCCCGAGAATAATGGGTCATTTTGTTTCCCGACCATTCTTGGGAAGGTCCATCCTTGACGTGTTCTGGAGCTATCAAAATCGTTTTAGCCCTGATATTGATCCCGAGGGTTGTCGGCATCTTTTTCCTCTTGCCCATGACGGATACCATCTCATTCACATTGTACATGTGAAACCCGCCTGGGGCTCTAGATGATGAGGTAGAGTGTGCTACATCGTCGCGCGGTCTTTGTATATCTGGGAAGGTGGGGGTGACCAGTGTTGTAACTTCCCGAGGTCTCGTTGACACTTCTGTCTTGGGTCGAGTAGGCAAGGTTGGGCTCCTGATACTCTCAGGACTCTCCGACCTTGTAGGGACACGGCTCGGTAATTGTGGTGGTGGCGGGGACGAAGCTCGAGCTCCGGGATCGCGTGACTGAATAACACTGGCGAGTGCTGCTGCCGGGCCATCCGCTATCAGGCTAGTGCCTCGATCAGGTTTCAATTCCGGAACCGGTGCCTGGTCGGGTGAACCGGGTGTGACTGTAGAAGTAGGCCGGGCAGGCAGCGAAGGTGGGGGGGGCGTTGGTTCTCGCGTGTTATCTCCAGTACTGCTATCGAGCTCAATGTAGTTTGACGGGGCAAAGCCGAAGTCGCCGTCGAGACCGACTAAAATCCAATCGGGATCGGACGTATCGAAAACCGCTAGGTTGGCATCCTCGGGGAAAGAAAGCTCCTCGTCCGTCTGCCTTGTGTACTCGTACATAGACCGCGCCTGGCCGGTAGCTTGGGCCTAGCACAAGGGGTCAGCGCGAACAGTGGTGATAACTCACTTGCTGCAGCGGGAAGATATCAATACCTCTTCAACATAATTGCTTGGGACAAGGCCAACGGGTTCTTCATCTTCTTCCGGCCCGGCCTTCTTCTTGGCCTTCCACCAATCATCCTCTTCGCTCTTCTCTAAGATGTAAAGCAGGTCACCTTCGCTAATGGCAAGCTCCCCTTCGCCTTGGGGCGCATAGTCATAGAGTGCTCTGTAAACACCAAGAAACCCCATTTTTCGAAGTGGTTTAAGACCCCGTATCCGTGACGGGGGCGAGGGACAATACCGGGGGGTGTGAGCACTCGAGTTGCCGGTTTGGGCGATAAGGATCCGGGCGAAGTGGTGCTGGTTGATGGACGGACAGATACCACGACTTTCACTGACACGAACTCGGCTCCGATACCAAGGGAGAAAGAGGGGAACGGGTAGCTAGCCTAAGGCAAAGAGATTAATGGCACCCGTTTCGCGGGTGGGTTTCCAGAGATAGTATCCGATTCCTGACAGTGAGCCGTAGGAAATGGCGCGTTCTTGCAATTGCCCTGATGATCTAGCTCTTGGAACTGGCCGAGTGGGGGATAAAATTAGGTCGGAGATTGGGCTGAACAATAAAACAAGGGCGGAAAAACAGGCAAGAGGTGGAGCGAAGGAAGGAAGAAGCAGATAAGTCGCTTCGGGTGACTGGACGATCACCAGTGGAGATGACGGGCAGAGCTCAAGTGCTCAACTGCCAAGTCGTGCGAATGGTATTCACATAAAGGAGAGAGAGTGTGTCTTGGGACCGAAACCCAGTAAGATGGTCGCCTCGTTACACAGGGGCTCGCCTCATTCTCTGGGTAAGTGGAGAACATTTAGAATTGACAGCAAGAGTTAAATTATTACATAAATCCATATGTTACTATATCGAGTGTTTTCTTCTAGGTGGCATATATTGACTTAAAAGAACAATTCTTCTTTCGGATGATTTCTGCATCTATTGATGTTGATATTTAGCTCTTCGAGCACAGCGAGCACCCCCGAGCCTAAATATCATAGGAGGGGATTGCAGCTTCGAGGTATGGCCAGTCCATTGAGCATCCCACAAGCATCCTGCGACGGTTGCCCCGCCTGCAAACTGTTCCAACAGCCAGGCAAGCCTTCCAACCATGAAACCACACCTACCACACATAATTTCTACATATCTTGTACACTGGATCTCTTCTTGCTTAATCTGTGAACTCCGTGGCCGCAAATTCGTAGAAATTTGTATTGTAGTTGTACCCCGTAGTGTTTGATTCCTGTCATTATAAAAGTAGAAGGATGTAAGGAAGTAAGGAAGAAAGGAAAGAGAGGGAAGAAAGTGGGAACTATGAAACTATTGCAACTGTTTACTCTTTTCAACCTTCCCTTTTCGCAACCCTTCCTCAACATGCAACGGTTGACAATGTGCAACCGTCCAGGGACGGTCCCTGGACGGTAACTCGAGTCCACAGGATTCTGCTCTTGATCTTGTTGAAAGGCTGGGAGTAGCGACAAAGAGAAGCTATTAGGCTAATCAGAGCCTTGCCCCTGCCCCTATCCGCTAGAGCCCTAATATTCCGATGATGTTGGTGGTTTCGTGAGATCTTCGCCGGTCCTCATACTGTTACTACGTTGGCCGCGGCTCACCACCCCGGGAAAGATCTTCGGCTCACTACCTGAAAGATGCTCGGCAGGCCAGTGAGGGTCCATGCCTGGGTAGGGGCTTCGTGGGGATCCGAGTACGGAAGACTGTGCAACGGGCGGCGGGGATGGACGTTCCCCCTCTAGATGGCGTCCATTCCCCCTGTCCACGATAACCTCCTTCCATTTGCCCTCATCGGCGATGGACATGCCGCCGTATTGGCTTTTCTCCAGCTTATCCGCTCCCGGTAATGCGCTAACTGAGGGGGTGGGACTGCTCAACAGGGGGTCTTTCAGCCCACCCAGTGCAATATATCGTTGAAGACTAAATTGGAACCACTTGAATAAGCAAAGGGTTCTCTCATTCGTGTTAGGGAAACTTACAGTTCTTTCTCTTCTAATAGAACAAGATGGCGAAACTCCTCCCTTCTATCGGGGATATTAGTCTTATCCATCTTATTCCCATCCTTGCCGGGCTTCAAGTAGTGAGGTCCAAGCCATTGTTGTTTGATGGAGTCCTCATAGCCGCTCTGCTTCACAGAATTCTTCGCCAGCTCGCACATATCAACTGAACTTAATTTATATATCTGTGCCGCGACAGCATACTCTTCGATCAACGGTTCCTTCGTGAAGGCAAACTGAAGGGGGTCGTCCGTCGAGAGTGACACATTCAGGCCTCGTTTGAAGTACTGGTTGAAAGGGTTTCTCTCATAGGTCAGGAACAGAGCGTTGTTACTGAGCGGCGACATGGCTATGCCTATCTGCTCCAGGTAGAATATATACTGCAAGAGAGGCACCTTTCGAAGTAAAAGGCCGTGGCTGATGCTGTGGCAACAAAGGGCAGCGACAGCAAGATGCTCGCTATCACCAGCTTCGCCGCAGTGGGGACGCAGGACAAACGTGTTGAACCCGCGCTGTTTCCGCCAGTGATTTAAGGAAACCATGTTGGCGTAGAGATAGTATATCCAGTAGCTATAGGGCGGGTTCTGACCAGAGTCCCAGGCTTTAGGGACGGGGTATTTCTTGAAAAGACGTCTCTCCACCTTGCTCTCGTCGTCCACTGAGTCGAAGCCGATTACGCGCTGGAGGAAAATATGCAGCTTCGGGTGTGTCGCGGGATCCTTTGTCACCTCGAAAAGAGGTTGGAAGAGGTTTGTAATGATTTGGTCAAAGGTTTCCATCAGACCACTCGCCTTGTAAACGTCGAAGAGGCGCGGTATTTGTATCAACCAGCGAACATTGTGTGAGAAGAGTTTGTTGTCCACAACCCATGCAGCAAGCTTGTCCCACTCATCGATGGCCTTGCCATACACGGATATTCTCCACTCCACCATTTGGTATTTGCTTGACTCAAGATCCGAGATAACTTCCTTCGTGATCTCGGCAAGATAGCGACCGTTGATGAAATTATCAGTTTTCAAAAAAATGGTTCGCAGACGAGACTCTCCAATAGGATTGTATTTGAGGTTAAATTTGTCAAATCGGTGGAAAGAATCCTTATGTGCCTAGATGATCAAAATGTTAGAGGCTTCGAATGGTACAAGTGAGGTGTGAGATCGTAAGAAGTACTTACGTGCATATCGAGTGTGTCTATGCTTAGGTCGTACGCAGTCAAGTTGATGCTCTCAAAGACTTCTGCGAGAGTGAGATGACGCCCATCTCGGAAGAGAACAACTTCATCAGGGCACTTTTTCATCTTGCTCTTGATGAAGCGCAGCAGATGCTTTTGATTCATACAAGCAGAGTGGTGAACATGGGTGTCCACTTTGCGGACGTTGTAGAAGTCTCGATGGGGCACCTTCTTACTGTCCGCTGTTTCTTGGTACTCGTTCAGAAGCACGTACATGTTGAATTGGCCTTCGAGGTACTGCAGGCGACGGAATGCGAAGCTCTTATTCGGGCCATCGGCCGATATGTTAAGAGCCTCGTCGAGGTCCATATAGAACTCGCGCAGGGTGGGCACGCGTACAAGAGGACGTGGTGGTGACGCTGATTTAGAAGGAAACACGACTTGGTATACTCCATTTTCGTCGAGTTGAAATGTCAAGCTCGAGGGTTCGGGGAGCGGCAGCATGTCGTCCATGTCAAAATCCTCTCCAATATCGTAACCGGGCTTCCGTTTCCTTGAGGACTTTCCCTTCCCAGATTTGTAAGGCGCACCGCGCGCACGGTCACCCTGGCCCGCATAGCCGGCATCCGATGTCAGCACCATGCTATTACTGAGACTATTGGAGGCGCTCCCGGTGACTGCATCCAGCTCCTGTACCCAGGCCGGTTCAGGAGGAGGGGGATATATAACCCAATCAGGAGAGTCTTTCGGGTTGTCTAGTGGGCCTTGTAACGACAAGTTGATGTATTTGTTGCGAAGTCCAATCAGCTTATGGATGTCCGAGGATATCGCGCTCAACTCCGATAGCATGTGGAGGTCGGCGTCGGGAATGTTGACGCCTGGGCTCGGGGATTGTTCGTCCGATGCTTGGAGGCTTGACCACGGATGCACTCTATCACGACCGGAAGCAGGAAACGCATGGTAGTCGCGGGAGTTATTCTCAGCAAATAACAGCGCCTGCTTTCCCGCCGGTACCGTCACAGGCCCACGGCGAGGGGATTCACCAACGTCGCTGGCTCGCGAGAAACGAGCCGACTTGGAGACAGGAGACGAAACCGGCTGCGTATCCGACGTTGGTTGTCCCGGTTTATGGCGCCCCGATTCAGTCATAGCGATCGCGGGCTGCGGGAGCTCAAGCGAAGATGCCAGTTCCACGGAGTCCTCATCAACTGGTAAAGATTGAGAGGCTTGCCAGGTGGATGATCCGGGTCTATTTTGGTGACCCTGGAGGCTCATCTGATAGAAAAGTTTCGCGTCCGTTAAGCTCATCTGGCGCTCTGCTACTGGATCATAGAATGTTGTCCTCTTCGGTAGATCCCGAGGCAACATTCCATTCCAATCATCTTGGGAATCAGCTCCCATGGAGCTGGAGTGATGAAGCTCATCACCTCCACTGTCGGAATCAGCGTCGCCTCTGTCCATGATTGGCGTACCGTCTGGAGACAGGGAAGTGACAAAATTGGAGTGTGAGTGCTTCAGGGGTCGTTCGACCATGAGAATCGGTCAAAGTTCAGTCTTGTCTTAGAACAATGGGAAAAACGTTGTTGCAGTAGGAAACTTTTCCAAAGAAAAACGCTGCCGGAAACAAATTAGTGCCTTGGGGATGGAGATTGATGGCTGGAAATGGACGTGGAGGTTCTACGGTTCTATTTATGGAAGACGGTGGGGAAGCCGGCAAAAGTTCGGATCCGACAAGCCTGGAAAAACTAAGCATCAAAAATGAAGACGGTCCCCAAATCTGGAATTTAATAAACTAGTTTAGAAATTAATTTAGACTCACCGAGCCTTCCCCGCTGCAACCACGACAGAGCACCACGTGTTAAATAATTGAAGAAGGAGCTAATGCTTGTATTGACTAATTGGGAATGGACGTAGCTGGCTTGAACTGATTTCTTACATGTCCATTGGGCTGCCATACCTTCCCAGACACAGATACTCCTATCCCCACATTGTGTCTCTGCAGTCTCCCACCATCGAAGGATAGATTCATCTTCTCTCACTTTCTGTTGGCCAGTCCTCTTACCGCCACTTTCCCCTGTCTCCAGACGGTACATTAAACCTATGACGAATTCGTTTCCGTTCCGCATCTAACGTTATGACATCGAAGTATCCTTCACCATAAAGGTCCGTTTTGCAGTAGTATTCTACACGAGGATTACTGGGACGGGGATATGTCTTCCCGCAGCTAGTTTAAGTTTGGGTCCCGCTCTACCACCCCGCCAAAAGCCTATTTCGACGTACCTTGTGAAGAGTCACGCTGGATATTTGGGCGTGCTGGCCGGGGTTCCGCCCCCACCAACACTTTCCTCTCTTTAGGAATGGCGGACAATCAGTACATATTCATAATGTACTAGTCCTATTCGACGAAATACTTCGAAATAGAAATTGACTTTATTCGGATGTTTCTTTCAAACAGGGTCAGGGATTACTAGTGTTGAGTGACTGCAGCTGTACGAAGTACTTGGGCTTGGGAGAGGCCTTTTTCAAAGTTACAATTGTCCAAGAGGTAGCTGAGTAATCTTCGAGTTTGACAGGCCATCGTTGGTCCTGAAAGTATGACCGTCATTCGCTTCCTATTGCAGGCCTTAAATCTCTTTTCATTTCTCTATTCTATAGGAATCTAATGATCATTGGGCGTCTCTTAATCCACTCTCTCCTTCTTGTTAGTGCTTGGCACCTTGCTTGGAGCTGGCTGCTTAGGTTTGGAGCCCAAAGAGTACATCGCGCCGGCTCCGAAGACGATTATGGCCCCAACCAAAGTCCCTGGGGCGAGTTGATTCCCAAACAACCAAATACTCAATAGCAAGCTCACTAGTTTGCGGATGTTGAGAACAATAGTGACCGTCAACGCAGATGACGCTGCGGCAAGGAGGTTCACCCCACGTATACAGGCGTACTGCGTGAGCACATTTGCAGTCAGATATGCAAGCTGGCTAGGTATCTTGTGCAATATCTGCGTGGGTAGCCAGATCTCTACGCCATAATAGCCTGGGTCGGATTCCGGACTCGAGTGCCATTGTAACGGAGGACTCTTGGCCAGTTTTCCAAACTGGGTAGTTAGCGACCCCGCGAAGGGGAGGAAGAGAGGCAGAGATAGCAGGTGGGAGTAGAATAGATTCTCTCGCCAGCGTGGGCCGTAGATTTTGTACGTCTCTTCCGTATACAACCCCATGACGGCCGACAAAATTTGCGCTACTAGGAGAATGATGAGTCCCGTGCTAAAGGCTGGACGCCCCTCAGTAGTTGACGGCGCATTAGAGTCCTGAGGGAGACATATTAGTACTTTACAAACACTTTCGTTCTAGACCTCGTAGCTGAGTCTGTGGTTAACGGACCTTGGACTGGGCATCGGCGTATGCTGCGGTAATGACCCCAATGGTCAGAAGGACCACGGACGTGACCTGAACTCGGGAATATCGCTTCCCGTACAGGTATCCAGCAATGATTGTGGTGATGCTTCCTCCAGATCGAAGAATGATGTGTACAGGAACGGAGATATCATAGCTGAATGCATGATTGTTCAATACGTTGATGGTGAAGAAAAGAACAATATTCACTAGCCAACGGCGCAGTGGTACTTTGTTTTGCTGCAGGAAGAACGGTGGTCTTGAGATGTCGAACTGGGAAACGTATCCGGTCACGGCAATAAACAGAAACTGCACAAACGTGAGGAGGGTACCTTGAGACAACTGTCAATGGTGCTGTAAGACATAAAGAAGCGACCTCGATACTTACCACTAGCAGGCTCGACCCTAGTCAGGAAGTGTTAGGCATACTACTCTCATAAATACATCTCACTTCACATGCTTTCCTGGGGGCCGGGAACTTACTGAATGATTGACTCTAATGCATAGACCTGCAACAGTGTTAGAAAAAGAAAATAAATACATGGGGAAAAAAAAAAGGAAGGCCAAGCAATTGAATCCCCAGCGAACATACATTTGAACAACAACCCCCAAAAATGAGGCTGAGCATAGCTATAACGGCCAGCCATTGTGAGACCAGGTCAATGATGGTATTGTGCAATTCTGGCCTTTTGTGTCTAGAGCGAGGTTGGCACCTCCCCGGGTCGGGCGACTCGCGCGAAGTCGAGTCTTGAATTGGCGGCTTCGAATTCATCGATTATTTCCCGAATCCAAATATCGCCATTGACAACTTATTCAGGTCGTTGGAAGAAAGTCAAGAGGTCAAACTGTAAGGAGACTGGAATGTGTTCTGAACGGACACCTATTGAAGTTGGGATTAAAATTAATAGGTACATCGCGGATGAGATTGGTGTCGTCTCCAAGCAATACGATGGTTTCTGGCAGATGTCACCAGCTGTAAATTCAAATCAGTTTAACACTGCCCGAAATGTCGTCGATGTGGCCCAATGCATTAACTTGGCGCCAGAACTTGGAATGCTACACAATGACAACATCTGAATGTCACGGCTCAGTTCGGATTCCGGCAGAGTCGCAAGAAAGTTTGCTCGCTACATGTACTGAACAGAAAGTTGAAAAGGGACAGGCGGATTTCTCTGGCACCACCAGCGTCTCTGAATGTGGAGTTCCCCACTGTGGCATCGACACATGAAATTTGAAGTGGTCAAATTCCCTTTACATTCACGCGGCTAAGGACAAGAGCACTTGGGCTGTGGTACCTGGCAGGCTGGCACTACCAAACTTGGGAGAAAGGCGAAAATCTACAAACACAACGCGATCACGCGGAAAGCCGGCAAGCCAAGAAATTTACGATTCTTTGCATTGTTCCTGCCCCAATTGAGGATTCCGCTCATCTACCAGCTCCCGGTCGTCTGCAACCCTGAAGTGCAATACCAACTCTGTGACCAACAATCCTTTACTGCACCGCGACGACGACGACGAGGAGAAAAGACTCGTCTCCAACACAAGGGCTCGATCCACGAGGGATCGCTCGTCGACGGTAGGGTAAACATCACGGTGTGTTCAATTCGGAGGTTGAAAATGCCCCCTTGGCGCTGTCTTACTGGCTCTGCCAGGGACTGCAACCCACCCATCGCATCGCTAAAGGAAGGCCGAGCCGCCTCGGCCTAGACACCTAGCTGTAGGATGCAGGAAGGATGTGAGAGACTGAAGCCTGCTCACTCCTTCTTCCATGTCACCAAGTGATCGAAAATCAACCTAGAGCGCGGAGAAAACGAATAACTGCAAACTGTAGTTAGCCCCTGTTGAACCGCCATGAATATGCTCCAGGCTCCGTGCACTCACATTATTCGTCGCCGCAATAGCAATACTGTCTTCGAAGGGGTGCCAACTCATGTGAAGGATCTTCTTGTTGAAGTCAATCTGATCCGCATCCGTTTCTTTCCGCATCCTCTGGCCAGGGCCAGTCCCTGGACTACCTGCTCGGGAGCCGTCCTTCTTCCCATTGGCAGTGGTTGGGCTCGTAGACGAGTTTATAGGGGTTGGTACCCCCACCTTCTTGGCCTTGAAGGCAGACTTGTCAGCCTGAAGAACCACCTCAACTTCCTTGTCTGGGTCCGATGGATAAATCATGAAGTTATTGTTGTAACTTCCAGTCATCACGTTCTTGGCATCCCCCGAGAATACAACCTCGAACTTGTCGAAAATGCTGTCATTCTCATAGGTATCGCAGAGACGCGGTCTCAAGTGCTCGTGGATTGGTATTGTCTTAACAGGTTGCCTCTCCATGTTTATATCCCATATCTTAACCGTTAGGTAGTCTCGTGACAAGATATAGCGACCGTCGTACGAAAAGCGGACGTCGGAGATAGACGATATGATTTCTGAAAAGAACGATCGCGACGCCGGATCCTCTTCTTGCTCAAACACTTTCCCCTCATTAGTTAGCATGGTTGGATAAAGGCAAAGGGAGGGGTTGTTTTATCATACACTTAGCATGCTGGTCACAGAGAGCGCTTTCTCGCATATCAGCCAGCTTGATGGTGCCTTTTGAACTGGCATACATGAACCAATTGCAGCTAAGTGGGTGGAATTCTGCAGCGGTTATGACCTCGGTCAGCTCTTCCATGTTTGCAGGCTTGATGTCCACAATGTTGAAACTCTGGTCCTGGATGTTAAGGTTCCAAAGGTTTATGCGGAGATCATCGCTGCTGATGAACGTCTCTCCGTCACTGTTGACGGAAATGCTGTTGATGTGATAGGCATGGGCATTCGCGTAAGTGCGACGAGGAACGGCTGCGACGACCGTATCGTGATGCGTCAGGCGGGGTAGCTTGAGGTCAGTCGGGTTCCGGAACTGCTGATGACCTAGAGGCCGCGATAGATTCGCCCCACCGCCGGGGAGGTGGCCTGGAGTAAGATCTTGGGACAGGTTGTTCTCTGCCACGACCTTGAGGGACTTTTCGAAAACCTTCCATAACTTGATCGTCTTGTCGTTGGTCGATAACAAGTAATGTGAAGCATTTTGTCTTCGGCACCACTTGATCTTGTTAATCTTCTCCTCTATCTCGAGAGACTTCAGATAGTCGAACTCGGGCTCGTGCGACTGGAACTCGGTATGGAACTTGTACTCGCATGTCTTTTTCTGTTCGGAGCTTAGCACAGCCATTTCGAGTACTCATTGGGTGGACGGCCTCGCTTACTGTCTCGTTTCTCTCGAAGAGGACAACACGCCCACCCTTATCTCCTGTCGCCAGATAATTGCCGGTGTGGTCAAACTCGACTGTGGATATGATATCGGCTATAAAAGAGGAGGGAAGTTAGCAAAGCTTGGACGTATAGTGGAAGACAGTATCAGGAGTGGAGAGCTTATGTTACTGATGCCACTTGCCTTCTGTGATGTCCTCTACATCACCCTTATCACCAAAGCATCTGTGATTAATTAGCAAGAGCCTTGATCATACACCAAAAAGGGAAGGGGGGGGAAGAGGCAGCATACTGGGTAAATTTCCACGTGGGAGAGTTTGTGTCACTATCTACCATCTTCTCCTAGCTGGTATGTCCGTCTAGGACAGAAAAAGGCCAAGGATATAGACTTGTGAAGGTTTCCTAGGTGAAGGGCAATGTTGCATTATTAGCAGCTAGAACAAGTGTTATTGACATTGCCAGACATACTTGAGAGGGCTCCTCAGCTAGGCAGGAGGTGGGGTAGCAGTCCAAAGGTAAGGAGAATGGTCGACTTGAGAATGGCTGGTATAAAGAGGATGTGTGGATCTGGTGATGCTGGGAGTAGGATAGATATTCAGTACTGTCATTAGAAACCTGTGGTTTGGGGGGGAGGTGTGAGGGTGATTATGTCACAAAGTTGATGGTTGATTTGGATTATGAGGCAAGGCGACCGACAGCTTTGTCTCTGTGTTGGAGTATCCCCATCAGTTTGGTTGATGGGTTCTGTTCCTGTAGTTTAAGCCGTACTTTTTCCGCCCCCCTTCCACCTCTTTAATTGATTGTGCTGATAATGCAATTCCCGAAAACCAAACTGGACTTATCATGGATATTACTGTTAGCTGAGTTTTTATTCATCTGGGCCTTCTGGAGAATTGAATAACATTCGCAACTAAACTACTCAAATATCAATGGCCGAGGTTATTGCGAAGTAGGTTTGAAGATTGATCAATATCATATGCCCTGTGCCTCGTTCAAGATTCCTACTTCGTATTTGGTGGGTTGATACTTCGTACTGACTGTAAACTACCTTTGTCAAACAGAGCCATTGACCCCCAGTTACCACAATTGAACTCTAGCAATTGATCCCCCTGCTTCCCAGATCATCAAAGTTTCCTTTTGGTATTTCTTCTTTCTCTCCATCTCTTGCCTTCCCCTTCTCTTTCTTTCTTTCTTTCTTCTTCACATTTCACTCTTCTCTCCTTTTTTTTTTTTTCTTTTTTTTTTTTTTTTTTTTTTTTTTTTTTTTGTTCTTGAAATGGGGGCTGACTCCAAATCGACCGAGGAACATACCCCTCGACACGATAAAGATGCCGGTCCGACGGTACCTCCCTCGTCAAAAGCAGTTGACAAAGATGCCTCGATACCCCAACGCCTTTTAAAGTCCACAACAGGACTCGCCTCATCCCTTCTGAGTGACCCTGGAACCGCAACACTAAAGAACCGAGAAGGACAGAGGTCTACCAAGGGTTACGATTCTGCTCCTAGCAGCTCTAGAAGCGGGCCTTCCTCCTCCCAGGAGACGGTCTTCGGTGGGGTGGGGAGTGCGAGGCATGGAGGGATTGTCGGGGAAGGGCACAGCACGGAGACAGAGCCAGAGGCAGCTTTTGGACGTTTCCTTGATCAACCTACACAAGATAGCATTACGGAGGTCGAGGGGAAGGGCAAGAGGGCGGTCTACTCCCAGAACCGCGAACGTACGGTGGAGGAGCAGGGTCAGCTGGATGGGCAGGACGTTGTCGCCCTGTTGTCTGGGGGGGAGGAGTCGCTCTGCTTCCCTGATAGCGTTGATTTTGGGCTTGGCTTCTCCGAGGCACCTCGCCTTCGTGCCGCCCTATTTGGGGACGAGGGGTCTACAGCTCTCTCATGGGATCATCTTCTCAATTTCTGGCCTCTGGAGGACCCATCCTTATACCCGGATTTTGTTTCACGGTCGCCGAAGAAACTGGACTCACACGCCGACTCTACCCCATGGTTCCACCAATGGAAGAATGTGTTGACCCGATATAGTGATGAAGTTTGGGGCGAGCTTGCGCCGGAGGTAGAAAAGGCGCGAGCAGAGGTAGACGCAGTTGAAACGCTTCAAACACCAGACCCCGAGAAAGGGCTAGCGTCCCTTCGCCGATTACAGCATATACTCTCCCATTTACGCGGATTATGATTGCAACATTTCCAACAGTTTAGCATCAGACTAACGTATTTTATTTAACGCGATGACCGTCGATGTTTCTCTCATCCCGGGTGAAACCTGGAAAAGAGCAACAGGTGGGAGGCACCAATGACGTCATGGCGAGAGATTTCCTCTCTGTGTGTCGTTCAAACCAACAGCACGCGCTCCCTCGTGAATAATATGATAATAACTAACCATTAAGCTCAACGCGCCGAGCTCATCCTAGAAATGTAGGTCACTTGCTCACACTCGGGCGCACATTGGGTTTCTCTCAATGCCAGTGCCCCCGTTTGTGTACTTGACCAGCAACGCGTGAAATGCGTCCTAGTAATCTAGGAAGACTTTGGTGGAATCTAGGACTCGAGGTCCACAGAAAGTCCAACACGCACCAAACAATATTGTCACCAGTACGAAGTCAATCGCAGCATTAATTCGAACGCCATGGATTGCGTGATCTTGGGCGTGTGTCTCCCCTCTCACCATGCTGTACATGTATACTTCTAGTGGTAATAGTACGCTAGTTGGACAAACTGAAGTATTACCAAATTCAACCTAGTTGTTGTACTTCGCTGTATTTAATCTGCACTGGACCAGTGTACCATGCATTATTACCATATCCCTCAATCACAATTGCAGCTATCAAATCAATCAATCATTCGAACAACAGCAGCGAGACACGCGCTGCATCTGACTGATGCATCATGGTACGCGCCGCTGACTAGGCTTCTACTCTTCTAGTGTAGCCACCACCAATTAATCTTTTTTTTTCCTTTTTCCTTTTTAGAAGTCCAAATCTCAACATCAACTGTCTGAACAGTTTTATTCCTCCTTTAGACCTTCGAAAAGCCATATTCATCAGCATCCATGTATGGCCTTACTCCGTAAACGGCACAATACCACTTGTTTCACGCAACAGAAGGGGAGGCAGCTGTAGAGCAGCCACCTAAATCCCATCGTCCCTCGAGCTTTAACCACGACGCGCCAAAATTACGCCACGATTTGTACAACATGAGGAGCACGCGGAAGCGATCGGTAGGGCAGCTGGAGGGCGGCCATGGCGTCCAAGAAGCATCCCCTCTGTATCAAATTCGAAATATGTGGCAATTCGCAAACCTCTGCCAATGGATCTACCTCTTTGGCAAGGCTGTCAAGATACCGGAGGAGATAGACATCGAGGTATATGCCATTGTTGTGGAAATAATTTGCCGTTCTCTAAACGAGAATGTTAACCGCTGTGCCTTTTCAGCTCCTCGAGGAAGAATGCCTTCGTCCCCATTCCGCGGTTCTCCGAGATATCGGCCTAGCACTTCTGAAATGCCTGTCCTCGCAAAGAGGCTTAACGTTAGTCCCCCTTCTCGATCCCGCCGACATATTGGATGCGAGGCTGAAGACGACTCGGTTCGTGCAGGATTGACCACTTCGATGAATACGCCCGAAGGCAGTTTGCTGCCAAAGCCCCGAACAAGAACCCCTTCGGCACGGATCCTGACCCGCGCAAGTTTGACGATTTTGACATCACAACGAAGGTTAGCCTTGAGTTCCGTCCCGGCACCCTCCCAATTGTTATTCAAGGGCGGTGTTAACCTGCCTAAATAGATATGCATCCTACAGCAATTTACGCAGTGGATCATGATACACCCTGAGCGCATTCGAGAAAAAATGGATGAGCAAAAAGATCTTGATCAAACATCATGGGTAGGCTCTGAGCTCCCCTCAACGAAAGCCTTTTTGGTCGGGATTAACAGTGGTCGCGACAGAGAATCGAACCGTATGGTTGGGACAGTGAAGATCGGACATATTTTGTCCTCGATGACAACCGCATATATCGACTTACAGAGGCGCCTTCATATACCGACGCGACACACGCGAGGAAGCGACCGAAAAAGTCACGTTCATCCTTAAGCCGGCCCAAGAAGCGGTCTAGATCTAACCAATCCGCTGCACCAGTAGAGAGAGCTTGCGAAGGCGGAATCGAGGATGGTGACGGCGAGATTGATAACGGGTTGGGTGGTATGAAGTGGGAGTGCATTGCCATCACCCTGGATGAGGTAACCGAGTTTTTAAAAACATTACAACGGACCAAAGACGAAAACGAGAAGGTGCTCCGGGATCAGATCCAGACTCATCTCATACCGATCTTACAGAAGGATGAGGAGGCACGCAAGAGGAAGGCTCTACAAAGGGAACGTGAGTTATTGAATTTGGCCAAAATGGCCAATGCAAAACGTTCGAGCCGAATTGCCGGCAGGATGGAACAAAAGAAACGTGAGGCGCAAGCGCAAGAAGAGGAACAAAGACAGCAAGCGTCTGCGACGGCGGCAAGGCGAGATGAGGAAATCCGACAGAAACTAGAAAGGGAGCGTGAGTCTCGGATGATGGCCCGAGAGAGAAGGCTGAAAGATCGAGAGACGAGACGATCACATTATGAGTCGGAGCTTGCCCAGCTATCTAGGGACAGCGAAACTCCCGACCTTCCAGCACATCGCACTTCTGGCCGTCAACTTCAACAGGCGATTCAAAAAACAAAGCAGGCCCTGCAAGATTTGGGAAGCGAAGAGGAGGACTGGGTTTTCGATTGCGTCTGTGGTGTCTACGGGCAAGTGGACGACGGAACCCATAGCATCGCTTGCGAGCGGTGCAACATTTGGCAACATAGCAAATGCGTCGGTATTAGTGAGGAAGAGGCTGATCGACCCGAGTTCCATTTTGTGTGCGCCGCGTGCAGGCGCAAGGAGCTCGAAGCTTCAACGCCATCAAAGTTAACAATCAAACTGAAAGTCAAATCCCCGAATCACGATGGAGGCCTTGCTCCTAAACGTGGAAGTTTCAGGGATTCCTCGAACGGCCTCGAATTGAACCTGGCTTCCAATTCACCTACGAATAGATCTGCACCGCCTAATGGCGAGGGCGTGATCAACAGCAACAGCAACAACTCCCGTCCCCATCCATTACTAGCCCAGGATGGCGTTACACCGAACATACTTCTCGAGCACCGTCCCCAGTCCGATGAGAAGCCCGGAGTTCATAGTACACCGAGGGCCTGTGCACAGAACTCTTTGGAGGAACATGGCCGGCAATGGCTTGAGGAGCATACGAAAGACGACAAGCTCCAATCTGACTCGCCCACAAATCAATTGAGCGTACCAAGTAGAAAATCACCCTTACTTACCCACTATGCCGAGTATGAGCCTACCTACCTACCTCCATCCTCACGCACGAGTGGCCTCTTTACTAGCGTTTCTGAAGGGACTGCAGATGGGATGGGTTCTTTCGGGTCTACGCAAATCAACCGCAGTGCCGAATCATCTATCCTACCACCTGTTTCCGCCGGTATCTCCCCAGTTAAACCATCGGTTTCTCTATCTTCATCCTTCAATGAGTGCGGAAACCATTCCCCCTCGGGTGTTAGTACTCTTGTCTCACCACCTCCCGCACTTTCTCCTGTCGTCCGCGAGCAGATCTCCACGCCCCCAGTCAAGCCATCCTCACCACCATCTTTGCATAGGCGTCCAAGTTTGGCCCACAGCTCAATATCGATAGGTGGTGATAATTAGGTCTTCGGTTGCCTGTTAGGTTAACTTAAACCACTCATTCTACGCATGCAACGGTTTCTCTTTCCTTACTCATCACCCCGATTTACGATTGAGAGTTGATTGGCAGACTTGGAATCTGAGGACAGGTTCATGGTCTCTCGGAGAGTGCAGCAATTTGTGTTTAGAATCAAACAATCTGTAGGCAGATAAACCTGTGAATGTGAGAGGTCTAGAACTCCTATTCAGATCCCCGCATTTGATCTGTGGCGCATTTTTCTTAGCGATCACGCTGCCATGCCTGTACTGTCTCTTTGCTGCTTGGGAAATTGGGAATAGTTCTTCAGATCAAGGTAAGTGTGGCACCTATTATCTAGTCGCACGCCTTCATTCAACGTCTTCATCGCCAGTTTGCTCTTGACGGGCTCCATCGTACCGAAGTGAACCGATATTAATCTTTAGCAGCGGCTTCCCAGTCCATTCCGTTCCGCAGACCCATTTTCCGAGCAAAGTCACAAGGTGATGCGTCAGTGATTGTGGGCAAGCTGTTCAAGTCTTCTCCTCTTCCCGCCTCAGTGCATGAACTGTTGGCCCAAGCTCACAGTCATTCAGCTGGTCTGATGCGGCTGCCCGCATGCCACTTTGGTTACGAAAATTGAAACGCGAAGTAGACACAGGGAGATCTGCAAGGATGTGAACATCGCCGCCTGCCATGGGTCATCTATTGGGGGTGGGTTGAGGTTTCATGAAGGCTCTCCCAGGCAACTTGGTGTGGGTTGCATACCATCGTATCCTTCGTGTCCCTCTCTAAGTACAGGGATGAACTCCACACGGATGCGCTACACGAATAGACGCCTCAGATGAGATGATCCTCTTCCGCAAACAACGCGGTTGATGTTGTGGGGCATTGAGGTTGGCATCGGCCATGGACGGTTCAAGCAAGGTTCAAGCAAGACTTTAGACCGTCGCTGAATCTCGCCATCCTGCTAAAGAGGAAGACATCAGATGCCGAAGCAGGCAGTTCTAGAAGGAGACCGAGGGAAGGGTGATCTTTTTGGTCTCTTTTCTGTCCTGCTTTTCCCTCCTATTTTATTTTATTTCGACTATTGACCTAGCTGCCTCTCATCCGATCGATCGATCGAAGATCCGGCAGGATTGATAGCTTGGACCCGGCTGATCGTCTCAGGGGAATTCCACAGGGCTGGTCCCTGGCATGTTGGCCAATGAAGCTGGCTTCAACCAACACTTCAGGGACAATCATGCCAAGCAAGACGGTCATTCCAAGGGCGACTGCATTAGAATTATGGACATTCAAGTTAGCTTCCCCATCAGGCAGATTTCCAAATGCCTGTAGCCGACATCATGCCTGAACTAGTGGGGAATATATGGACCCGCTGCATAAGACCTCTGGGAAATCCAATCTACACGTTCACAGCAGGTCTCCTCTTCGTCCCATCCAAAGCGCATGTCTTTGTGCCAGGCAATGCCATCCTGTAGCCTAGGAGTGGCAAGCAGAGAACATCAGAATTAGGTTTGAAGATTGGGACTGATAGGATAAGGACCTGTACATTTCAGATAGCATTCCTAGATTCCCAAATCCGATTCAACTTCCAACTTCCCAACGCTCCATGTCATCTGGCTGGATGCGGGAGCTAATGGATTGCACCCACCCGGAAGCAATAAGTTGAGGCTTGTCTGGATCTCTGGATTGGGAAACCTCCCAAAGTATGAATGGGCTTGAATGACAACACAAGTGCTCACAACTATCCACTGGGTTGCAAGACCAGCACATATCCCCAGACAAAGACTACTTTGCCTCCAGTATCCTTGTCTCTTCCAGCTAAGGAGTCCGGGGAGAAGATTCCCCTACCTCCAACTGCAAGTATGTATGTTATTCAGCTGTCAAAGAGGATAGGTCTTAGAGCATCCACACCAAAAATCTCCCTGTCCTAGAGCCCAGGGTCTTCATACAGACCAGTTGAAAAAATGCATACATGACAGCAACTTGATGCCAAGCCTGACAGAAGCCTGGTCGCATCCATAGTCAAGCTGCCGCTCAAGCAAGCCATCGGAAACCACCATATCGGAATTACCACACTTGGCAACAAGCAGTCTCTTCATCTAGAGGCCACATCTAAGCAGCAACTACCACCTTCCAACCAGAACAACCTCGCCAACAGCAGGTAAGTGGAAGAAGGATCAACAGCCAAAAGGGGGGCCCGGACTACGAATAGCCAACCCCCAGTTGATACTTGAATGATTCATCCTCCTCTGCCGCTGACTTCTTACGAATTATCCGACCCTCCTTAGAAGATACAGGTGAACGAGACGGCGCCGGACGACTCAGTGTTGAAGATGGACGACCATCAAGACTCTCGACTAGCCGCTATCCCGGGAGACGAAAATCACCTCCAACACCTCTCGGAACATGATGGCAGCACACCATTCACCGGGAGCGGTGTTCTAGCCGAGGAGGACCTCTTCTCCATCTCTCAACACGCTTCTCGATATGTATCGCCCCCCATTACACACAATCTCTCGGCGATACAGAACCTGCACTCCCAACATCAAGAGCTGCCGCTAGTAAGTGCCGTCTTCTTCGATGCTATCATTAGCAATGGACTAATTCTGGAAACCAAAAAAATGTTAGGACAGTATGTCTCCTTCGCCATACGATGTATCATATGGCGGCCATGGCGGCCACGGATCCTTCCTTACGGATAGCAGCTCTTTCGTTCGTGACATCTCCTTCTACGCACACTTATACGACTGAAATGTTAACATGCTCTAGCACCCCAGGCCGTACAACACCACAGATATCTCACCGCAGATACCCCCGCAAATACCCCCGCAAATACATAACCCTGGGATGACAAGCACGGCGAGGTCGGGAAGTGAACGGGGTCCGAAGACTATGGCTGTCAAAACTGGACGAATAGAGAAGAACACATCGAAGCGGAAGAGAGAGAGGCCAGGTGCTGCAAAGAGAGCACAACAAGTGGAAAAGCCACTCAGCGAGTTGTTACACGAATTTCCACCCTTCGAGATGCCCGACATCGCGAAATACGTTCATCGAGCCAAAGAAGAAAGACTGCGAGAGGTCGCCGAATGTAAACCGCCAGGGAGGATCAAAAGGCCCATGAACGCCTTCATGCTGTACCGGAAAGCATATCAAAATCTGGCAAAGAGCATATGCACCCAGAACAACCATCAGATAGTTTCCCAGGTCTGCGGCGACGCCTGGCCGCTAGAGCCTGAACACATCAGGGAGCAATTCAACGAATGGGCCAAGATCGAGAAAGAAAACCACATCAAGGCACACCCAAACTATAAATTCACCCCATCCAAACCCGCAAAGAAGGTTAGGAAGGTCGACACGGGTTCAGATGAGGGATCCCATCTTGGGGAAGCCGAGTGGGCATCTGAGAGGCCCCTGCGAGGTTTGGATGCGGAAAAGGCGGCGAGACAGACGCAAATGGGCGCTCCCGTGAGCACGCCGATATCCATTTTCGAAACATATGACGGGTATGGTAGTTTAGGAGTACCCTCCAACCATTCCCTCTACCCTTATTCCAACACCGGGAAACTCATTCCTACCCCATACGATAGTACAGGATTCCCCGGTGATCACTATTATCAGCAGAGCGTTTACTCGACACCAGGCCAAAGCGGGCTCGTCGAGGATGTAGTCATCAGAAAGACGCCATCGCCAGCCTCATTTGGTCAGTCTCATCACATCATGGGCGATACAGCATATCCACCCATAATCGATCCGTACGCCACGATGGGCATGGGCTCCGAACATACGATGGACCCATCTTTGGTCGCAAGGCCAAGCGGCAAAGCCTATGATGGCACTTTGGACAATTTCGGGTTTGATGTTGATCCGAGGTGGTTGCCGTCAGGTATGACAGGCATAGGTCCACTAGGAATGCACGAATCAATGGAGCCACTGGATGCCTTCTTGGAACAGGATCCCCAGCTACAATATTTGAAAGGCGAAGAAGGAAGCTGGCAAGTTGAGGAGGTGCCACCACGATCTCAGTCTGAAGCTTGGCAGGGCTGAAGACGTTGGGGCGGCAGTGACTTGCTCGGTGAGCTTACAATGTAGGGCATACCAGAACGAAACCCATATCCGAGTAGATGCATTGATGAATACAAGATAGGCAAGAGGAATTATTTTAGAAGATGTATGGCGTGGCTGTGTGACTCTCGATCTGAAACTGTTGGATGGGAATATTGAGCCCCAGTGACACGATACTTTGGTTTAGTGCAGTGAGGCTCTGCTGTGATCGGAGTTGAGATGGAATTAGCTTGACTTAAATTGATATTATGCAGAACAGTTCCAGGAGCTGCATGTTTGATGGTGCATTGATCGGATAATTCAATATTCTTTTATTCAAGCAACACGTCACAAGTACGGATATGAGGCAGAGTGTCAACATTGCATTTGCAGTTTAGCATGACCATTTGCATCAATTGGCCTGACTTCGTCTGTGGACAACGGCAAGCTCGAGGGCCTTGTGCTTCGTGTCTGCACTCGCTTCTTCATAATTCCCCAGCGCGGACCTTCTTCGTTTCATACGCCAACAAGATAACCTCACAATGGCTTGGGTACCTCGCGTCATCGTGACCCTGGGCCTGATAGTGTTGGCGCATTCGTTAGTTACTTCCCGTTCAAACTCGATTTCAACCTGGTCGCTGACTTTATGGAAAAGCTGTTATTCGGCCCAAGAACATTCTTCTCAAGCCTCTCGCACAATTTCCACTGCTACTTCGGCATCCCCCCAGATTACGACTCCTACCCAAGGCATCCCTCTACCCGTCGACATCCTTCTTGAAGCGATAACTGCGACGCTTGTTATATGTTTCGGCCTCGCCCTTTCCGCCCCTTCCCTACGACCGATACGATGGCGCGTCTGGGCCGGCCGTCTGGAGAGAGAGGGGGTGAAAGGACTCACAGGAGGGAGCGATGACGGGGGCAAAACAGGTCTTGTTGGAAACCCTTTTCGAATGCTCGAGACGCGCCCGGGATTCGTGGACATTAGGCGGCAACGAGCAGATTTCTCCCAGTGGGTTAAGGGTGGAGAGCCCGTCCTCAGTTGATGAGGGCATTGCTAAAATATGAGGTGCTTGAGGTTGGTTATTCCGCTTAGGCCATCCCATCCCTCCAGTTTAGAAACGCTTCTCGCAGGGGATTGTGCGCTTGCGCCTCCCCCGGGACATATGCCACGCCTTTTGGGAGGATTTTGTTCTTACTGGTATGGAATAACGACCCGGTCGGCAGTTTGGCAGGAACCGCCTACCCTAAGTGACTGTGGGTGACACACCTTTTGGAATGGGCTGCTCCTTCCATGTAATGTAATATATCTTTTTACGAGTTGTGCTTGGTGTACTTGATGTGTCAAAGGTACAGTTGACATACAATCGGAGTCATTGCATACTTTAACAGCATCGATAGATGCCCAGTCGTAGCTGCCATAGCTATAGTCGCACCTGCCCCCGATGCTCCCTTGACATTACGTACCAACCTGATGTCTGTCTGCCTGGTCTCTGCTGCCACAAATAGAGGTACAAGGTGTACATTGTATGCTTCAACTGATACACCCTTGACTTGTACTGATCTCGTCAAATCCGTAGAATCAATGTCTGCCTACTATCGCGTGGTTCCCTTGAATTGTACGTCTCCATGAACGGATGACGCAAGAGCCTGTTGTTTCTTCTTGGCCCTCAAGATCTCACGCCCGAAGCACTTACACCTAACACCGCCGTCTTCACAATAATAAAATTTTATTTCTGTGAGACAATGAGATCCTCTTCTACGTTAGAGCTGTCAGATGCTTCTGATGCCCACCCGCCGATTCCCGACAATGCCCAGGACTACATTCTTCTAGCTCTAGAAGTGAAGATGGATGGAAAGCTAGGGTGTGCATATTTCTCTTTTGCAGATTCTACCCTGGCGCTCTTAGAGGAGACGAATGTGGTTGATTGGACTTGCATCGAACTCCTCCTCACCCACACCCGGCCGACGGTTGTGTTGGTACCAATGCGTTCCTCCGAAGATCTACTTGGGCAACTGAAGGAGTTTTCCAGCTCAGAAGGTTTGCTATGTTGCCTCGCATCTTATGATATGGTTCCCACATCCTAATCGGACAATCTGACGGACTCTGACGGACATTAGATGGTGGGTTTACTCTTCAGGTTTTGAGTTCGGCCGAGTTTTCGTATGAAGCGGCTCTGGAGCGTTTGGCGAGACTTGGTTCCGCAAATCGGCGATATGGCCAAGAGACTTCTACGTCGGAACCTGATTGCAACGCCTACGAGTCGAATTCGACAACCAAGAATATAAAGGTAACGGCCCTCGGATCAATGGTTGATCTCGAATGCCGGCTCTCTGTGAGTTTAGTCTTCTCACCCATTGCTTTCACGGCCATTTCCAAAAACACCCATGGCTAATAAGAATACGGCTTCTTCATCTACCAGGTCGGTTGTTCTGGCGCTGTTCTCGCCTCAATTCAACGACCGACTGAGTCGAGTCGGCCACCAAGTGCCCCGAGTGTATCATCACTGCAAATGTTCACCTTGGTCAACCGGATGTTTATCAACGCCGATGCCTTCGCTTCCCTTCAAATCATCCACACAGAGTTCCACCCCAATGGACAGACGAATAGTCAGCATCATACTTCAGCTGGCACCAAGGAAAATCTCTCCGTCTTCGGGCTTTTTCGACAATTAGCATGTACTCGTCAGGGAAAGGCCAAGCTACGTCAGGTATTCCTGCGGCCTACTACAGACTTGGGAGTCATCTCAGAGCGGCAGGAGGCCATATCGACGTTTTTGCGACCAGAGAATGAAGAAACAGTTGCGTTTCTTCGGCGGTCGCTCCGAGGGCTGCAAGACATCAAGAGGCTTTTGCGGCGGATGGAGCAAGGAGCACAAGATATAATTTCCTCTGGACCAACAGATAGCGGGATATGGAAAGTGCTGCATAGATTCACTCTTCATGCAGTCATGCTGCGGGAAGGTCTGGGGCGTATCCATTGTCGGCCGAGAGTTGGTATAATTAGACGGGTATCATCTTACTTGACCCTGTACCGTTGATGGGCGACCGCTAATCAACCCCCCCTCTCTCCTGCCAGATCTCCAGCAGCATACGGGCCGACGAACTTGCCGCGGTTGGAGCGTTGGTTAGCCGTACAATTGATTTCGAGCAGTCTGCTGCCCGTGGAAGTCCCACGATTGCTTCGGGGATCGACCGTAAGTTAGATGGGTTGAAACATACCTATGATGGAATAGAGTCCCTCCTTACAGAAGTGGCGACTGCGCTGAACCAAGAACTGCCAAAATGGGCTCACGGTCGCTTCCAGAATTGCGTGTTTTTCCCTCAGCTCGGCTTCCTGACGGTTGTCGAGATGAGCGGGGTTTCCAGGACTGACATACTCCAAAATGATGGACTTCAAGACAAAAACTGGGAGGAGCGGTTCAGAGACAACGACCGTGTTTACTATAAGAACAGGTATATGAAACAACTTGATGAGCGATTCGGCGATGTCTACGGCATGATTGTGGGTATGCTATTTCTACCTTTCCTAAGTGGAAGGGCCAGGTGATGATTGTGTAGGCTTCCTGTCACAAAGACTGTGAATATAAGACTAACAGGCTGATAAAGACAGAGAGATAGATATACTCCATGGCTTATCGAGTCGGGTCTTACAGTATCGGGTCGCGCTTGAACAGGCGTCTGAGGCCTGCGGTGACCTCGATAGCATGATGGCACTAGCTGCCGGCGCGGGAAAGTACGGATGGACTTCGCCGGTGGTAACGCCCGACTCAAATATCATACACATTGAAGGCGGACGTCACCCACTCCTGGAGCTTGTCACGTCCCAATATATCGCGAATGATTGCTTTTTGGGTGGAAGCGGTGACAACCGGAGGGAGCTTTGGGACGGCAGGGACTCTCCGGGTGAGCCGGATAGCCAGAATACCATCATGCTGATTACAGGGCCGAACGATTCGGGCAAGAGCATTTACCTCAAACAAGTCGCTCTCACCGTTTACCTAGCTCACATTGGTAGCTGTGTTCCAGCGAAGCGCGCCGTCATCGGGATCACGGACAAGATCTTGACGCGTATCACCACAAGAGAGAGTGCATGTCGGGGAGAGAGCGCCTTCTCTATCGATCTCCGACAGGTTGCACTCTCTGTACAGGCAGCAACGCGGCGGAGCCTGGTCCTGATTGACGAGTTTGGTAAAGGAACACTACCTGAAGATGGAGCTGGTCTGATGGGGGCGATTATCAACAGTTTCCTTGCAAGAGGCGAGGAAGCGCCCCGCGTTCTCGCAGCGACGCACTATCATGAACTTGTCGACGGCAACCACTTGACACCTGGTCGTAACATCAGCCTCGCCCGGATGGAGGTGAGGGTCAACTTGGAGGTCGGCAGTTTTGGTGAGCCGTCGGTAGTGTACCTCTACGCACTCAAGCAGGGTCAAGGCATCTCAAGCTTCGGCACCTCATGCGCGGCGGTGAATGGCATAGATCGATCCATTCTGGGGAGAGCAGAGGTTATTGCTGATCTGCTTAGCCGGAACGCTGATCTTCAGGTGTTATGCTCAAAGCTGGGAGTCGCCGAGAAAAGGAAACTGGAGTCGGCGGAGGCGGTCGCCCGCCACTTACTTGCGATGGACTTGCAGGATGAAAGTGGAAGTCCACATTCTGTTGGAGGTGAACACTTGCGGGGGGTTGTGAAAGGTTGGCTGGCGAATTAAGCTTAGTGCGGCGAAACTAGTCCAAGCATATGTGAGCCACGGACTCAAACTCATACTCACGCTCGCTACTTATTTTATTGATTTTTCAGTCTCGATTTCGTCGTGGCATTGAGCTCGAAGTTATTTTAATATCTCCAAATATTAACTGAAGCCCCAATTACCTTTGCAATTGTCACTGTCTTGTCGATGAGATGCTTACCTAATAAGTCACCAAGTCACGAAGCTCAGCCACATTCGGGATTTCTATTCTTAGGACATCAAAGACGCTAAGGCCAGGCCAAGCTGAGACTCGGTACTTCGTACTACCTCAAGTATTAGTTTCAAATCCAAAGGTCCTAGTCTGGACGTACCCCTGAGGAAGACCCCAAAGTTGCTCCTAGCCTTCGCGTTCCACAGTACAAACGCAACGTATCTTCCCTTTACCTTGTACGGTGGAGGACCATTCTAAGACACTGCTTCCAGGAGAGTGTCGATCTTTCTCCAACGTATTCATTGTGACAATTACCATGCCATCGACCCCAAATCTCTGCCGCAATCTCGAAAGCCTCCTCTCTTAGCCCGAAGTATGCTGGGGTCGAAGCCTAGCCGTTTCCCCCAGTGCTGAGTTGAGTATTCGGACAATGGTCGTTGTTTCGAGTTAGGCCTCCTCCCCCAACACCTGGACCACGCGAGATGTCCCAATCGTTACCGACTCGAAATGGGGGTGATAATGGAGAGATACCGGAATCAACCCCCCAAACACAATCCTTTCGACTACAAAGTCTCGAGACTCCAGCCACCGGAAGCCGGCCGCAGGCGGCCGCTCACCCGCCGGGCCACTCTGGCGATGCGTCTTTCCTAGATTTACCTCCCTCTCCCTCCGCTTACTGGAATCAGTCGTATTCTAGTCGCCGCCGTGAAGCCGACTTTTACGATGGGGATGAAGGCGTCCAGCCCGAATCTCCTATTGACCCTTCCGCCTTACAGTTCGCGCTGCCGCCAAGCATCGACACACCATCCACTCCGCTCGCTCCATACAGAACCGTTTCAACGGATGCATTTGACGCGCAAGGGAATTATTACGATGATCCGAACGCCGTCGATAATGAGTCCGACATGGTCCCACTCACGTCGGGAGCGCAACCGATTGCTGGGGCTCTGAATCCACGTGCTGGCCAGGATTCTACACCACGTTACAGCTTTCAGACAGTCTCCGATATTGATAATGGGCCGTCGAGGAGTCGCCAAACAAGGATCGGGTTCGATGTCGAGCTAGATCCCGCTGCTAATCAACAACAAGGTTATGGAAATACTCTTGCGCCTGGCGATTTCCGCCATTCCCGAACCCCATCAACCTCGGGGGCGTTGTCTAGAGCCGGTTCGATCGTTAGGGCAATGTCGCAGAGAGTAGTTAATATTAGTGGTGAGGCTGAAATAGTTGATAGAAGGCCCAGCCATCGCCGCCCAAGCTCCCAGACCGGCGTGGAACAAAGACGCACACAACATCTGTCTATCGGCCCAGACTTGGACACGTCTTATCCCTCCCAGGTCTTTCCCGCACCCAACCTCGAGAAGAAGGCCTCCACTGACTTCGCCTTTGCGGAAGTTCGGTATCCCGAGTCACTCCCGGTGGACATGATGAATCCACTTAAAGGGAAGAGCCTGGGTATCTTTTCACCGGAGAATGCGATTAGGAAAGGCCTCTGTGAACTCCTCATACATGCCTGGGCGGAGCCGGTCATCCTTGTCCTCATCGTTCTGCAGACAATTCTCCTCGCCGTTGAAGCGGCGCCAAACGTCTTCGAGCCAGGAAATGGTCGTCCGGGCAAGTGGGGAGAGACTAGGATTGACTGGGCAATGTTAGGGCTTTTCATTATTTTCACCCTGGAGATCGTGGCCCGAATTATCGTGTCCGGGTTTATTTTGAATGCGGCCGAGTACAGTACCATTGACCGAAAACGGGGTGTCAGAGCGGCAATCGCCGATCAATATCGCCTTATTTTCCAACCTCAACGGCAGAAGTCCGTCAGGGGCGCCCGCCACACCCGACTTGAGCCAACGGCCCTTCCACGGTCTTTCACCTTTGCGCAGAGACAAACCAAGACCATAGAGGACCAGCGAAGATTCCAGCTAGCCCGCCGTGCCTTTTTGCGCCATGGCTTCAATCGCTTAGACTTCGTCGCCGTCGTTGCGTTCTGGATATCGTTCATCTTGGGGATATTTGGACTTGAAAAGCAGCACCATCTATACGTTTTCAAGATGCTCAGCTGCCTACGTATCATTAGGCTGCTAGCCTTGACAAACGGAACCGCTGTAAGCTATTCTTAGCAACCTTTCCTCCTGAACAACGTAACTAACCATGAACAAACATAGATCATCTTACGAAGCTTAAAAAAGGCAACTCCACTCCTAGTGAGGGTGGCCTTTCTCATTAGCTTTTTTTGGTTGCTCTTTGCGATCATAGGTGTCCAAAGCTTTAAAGCCAGTCTCAGCAGGCAGTGTGTCTGGCTTGATCCTCTTGACCCAACGAACAAGTCCGCATCATTTACGAACGAGTTTGGCTTCTGTGGTGGGCACCTAAATGATACAACTGGCCAACCTTCCCCTTGGGTGATATCGGATTCACCAGATGAGTTAACCAATCTTCACCCAGTCACCAAATCTGGTAAGGGATTCATATGTCCTCGTGGCTCTATCTGCCTTCAGCAGGGAAATCCCTACAATGGAACTGTCAATTTCGATAACATTTTCCATTCCCTGGAGCTTGTTTTCGTCATTATGAGTGCCAACACCTTTTCAGACCTCATGTACTATACTATTGATTCAGACTACCCTCCCGCTGCCCTCTTCTTTGGTGCAGGCATCATGATCATGATGCTTTGGCTTACCAACCTCCTGATTGCTGTCATTACTTCCTCCTTCCAAGTTATCCGCGAGGAAAGCAAGGCAAGCGCGTTTACGGCCGAGGAAGAAGATTCACCTGCTCTCTCCCATTCCGAGGATGTCCTAAAAAGGCCATCAGTACTGCAGAAGATGTATGACAAGACGGGGCTGGTATGGGTTTTCGTCATCTCTTTCGCACTCATCGCACAATCTTGTCGAAGCGCCACGATGAGCGAGACCAGGAAATCGTTTATCGACAACACGGAGCTGATCGCAACTATCCTGCTTGATATTGAAATCGCCATTCGCTTCCTCGCCAACTGGCGTCATTTCCATCGGAGCTGGAGGAATCTCTTTGATCTATTCCTTGCCGTTACGACGTCTATCATCCTTATCCCTCCCATTCGACATTCGGGGAGGCCGTATGCCTGGCTTACCGTTTTCCAGATCCTCAGAGCTTACCGAGTCGTCATGGCTGTTCCAATTACGCGAAAACTCATCCTGCTTGTCCTGGGCAATGCAATGGGTATTGGAAATCTTATGCTCTTCGTCTTCCTGATCACCTTTATCATGGCACTTTTCGCAGTACAGCTATTTAGAGGAGAAATCCCCATTTCCGATGAGGGAGGAGAACTGTACCGAATCACCTTCTCCACAATATTCAATTCATTCCTTGGCATGTACCAGATTCTATCAAGTGAGAACTGGACTGCTATACTGTACGCTGTTACGGCAGCTGGGAATGGATTCGACACTGCCTGGATTGGCGCCGTCTTTCTCATTGGATGGTTCATATTGTCCTTCTTTATTCTCGTGAATATGTTCATTGCTGTCATTCAAGAGAATTTTGATGTGTCGGAAGATGAGAAGCGGCTGGAACAAGTAAAAGCCTTCCTGCAACGAAAAGAGCTGGGCAAATCATCCGGGAACCTAGCCTTGTCTACAATCTTTAGCTTCGGAAGGAACAAGAAGAAAGTGAGAGATCCACTCGATTATGGCCCGGCCATGATGGAAATGCTCCTGAAGGACGCTGTGGTCCGCGAGTTTCTAGATGACCCGATGGACCCTCTCCAGGAAAGCCCCGGGCCGTCGTTACAACATCCTCAACGGCAGTTTACGACCATGGCAGGGGACGTCAAGCCTGGCGTCCTCTCGACTCTGTGGGGCAAAGTTGTGGCCATGTTCTCTAGCCGGGAGCCGAACCCGTTTTACTCCAACATACGCTTCGAAGGTCCAAACGACAACCTGGATCCCAGGCAGATGGCTCGACAAGCTGTCTCCGCAACCAGTGCTCGCCGCAGAGCGCAGCGCGAGTATCTCGCCCGCCATCCGAATTACAACGTTTCTCTCTTTATATTCAGCCCCAAGAACCCGATTCGACGCCTTTGCCAGAGGCTGGTAGGGCCCGGTCGAGGGAGCGAGCGTTTCGACGGCGTTGAGCCAAACAAAATTGCGTGGTACACATTTTCCGCCTTTATCTATGCCGTCATTGTGGCCATGGTTATTCTAGCCTGTGTCACGACTCCACTTTACCAAAAGCAGTATCGCGAAGAACACCAATTTGGCCTTCAGAATTGGTATGTCTGGACAGACTTGGCTTTCGCCGGGGTCTTCACCGCGGAAGCAGTTATAAAAGTGATTGCGGATGGGTTTTTCTGGACACCGAATGCCTATTTCCGCAGCTCGTGGGGTGTCATTGATGGCGTGGTACTTATTACCCTTTGGATCTATGTTGCCACCCTTCTCGCGAATGACGGGGCTGTTTCTCGCGCGGTTGGCGCCTTCAAAGCGCTCAGGGCGTTGCGACTCCTCAACCTCAGTGATAGTGCAAGGGATACGTTCCACAACGTCATCATCTGGGGTTTGTGGAAGATAATAGCGGTAAGACGAGGCTCCCCGTTCCCCAATCTCCAACTCTTGTATTCTTCATTCCGGTTCGAAAGCTAATTGGCACGTCTGCACAGCCGGCGTTCGTTTCGATATCTCTCCTGATTCCATTTGCCATCTATGGCTTAAATCTTTTCAGCGGGCTTTTGGTCTCATGTAACGATGAATCCGACGACATCGTTACCTTGAGGGATTGCTTTGGGGAATTTAGCAGCGCGCCTTACAGCGAAGACTGGCCGGTGTTGGCGCCCAGGGTTGCGTCGAATCCACATCTCAATTTTGATGACTTTGGCTCGGCGCTCTTTAGCCTTTTCCAGATTGTCAGCCAGGAGGGCTGGGTCGACGTTTCCTTCTCAACTCAGTCTATAACGGGCCTCGGGCTCCAACCTCGCCCTCTGGTTGCGCAAGGAAACGCTGTCTTCTTTGTTATCTTCAACCTCCTTGCCACCGTCTTCGTCCTGACGCTGTTCATCTCCGTCTTCATGCGTAACTATACAGAGCAAACTGGCGTTGCGTTCTTGACGGCAGAGCAAAGGTCCTGGCTGGAGCTACGGAAGCTTTTAAGGCAAATTTCCCCATCGAAAAGTTCCTATGATGATTCAGAGAAGGCGTGGAAGAAGTGGTGTCACAAGAGGGCCATAGAGAAGCGAGGTGTGTGGTATACCTCGATCACGTTCGTTCTCGTATGTCACCTTTTCCTACTGGTCAGCGAGTACAGCAACGAGCCCGAGCGGTGGACGAAGATAAGAGACACGCTCCTTTTTGTCTTCATCCTTTTCTACATGGCCAACGTTGCTGTGCGAATCATCGGCTTGGGATGGTCGCGGTTCCGAAGGAGCTCATGGGATCTATATTCCCTGGTGGTTGTAACTGGAGCCTTTGGCGCAACTTTGGCGCTTTTGATCAGCAAGACTCGGCAGGAAACGTACGTGCAGTTGCACAAGTTTTTCCTTGTCGGAATAGTCCTGCTCGTCATCCCAAGGAACGACGCGTTGGACCAGCTATTCAAGACGGCGGCAGCCAGTTTGACAAAAATCAGCAATCTGCTGGCAACTTGGCTCATCTTCTTCATCATCTTCGCCATTGCCCTGACCCAAACATTCAGCTTGACCCGTTTTGGAGAAGAGGGTGGTAATGGGCTCAATCTCCGCACGGTGCCGAACGCGCTCATATTGCTCTTCCGCATGAGTTGCGGCGAGGGTTGGAACGAGATTATGGAGGATTTCGCAGACATTGAGCCGCCATTCTGCGTGGAAGGCGACGACTTCTTCAATAGCGATTGCGGAAGCAAGCCATGGGCGCGGTTCCTGTTCGTTGCCTGGAACATCTTGAGCATGTACATCTTCGTCAATCTCTTCGTCTCCCTGATCTACGAGAGCTTCAGTTATGTATATCAGCGATCGAGCGGGTTGGCTGTCGTGGATCGAGACGAGATTCGACGCTTCAAGGAGGCATGGCGGAGTGTTGATCCGGCCGGGACGGGGTTTATCAGCAAAGAAGCTTTCCCCCGTCTCCTGGGCGAACTTTCGGGGGTCTTCGAGATGCGCATCTACGACGCCGACGACTCGGTACGGCAGATCTTGGAGGACGTGCGAGGTGATACGACAAGCGCTAGGCACCAGTCCATTGGAACAAGCGTAGGAACGGGATACAACACGGGCATAGATTTGCAGAAGCTGAACGAGAGACTCGCTCATATTGATGTGCCGAGCGTGCGGGAGCGGCGGCGGCGTTTTAATCTCTTCTTTGAAGAGGTGATGGTTTCTGCGGATCCCGACAAAGGAATCTCGTTTACGACGGTGCTGATGATCATTGCTCACTATAATATCATTAGTGATAGCAAGAGTCTGAGGTAAGCAAGAAGAAGCCTGTGATTATTGTCTTCTACATGGTTTTGTCTACGATACTAACGGTAGCTTTCATCAAGGCTCGAGGAATTCCTCCGCCGACGCGCGAGACTACAGAGGGTAGAGGAGGAAGTTAGAAGGAGGGTTGTGCTCGGATTTTTCGAGACTCTGTACTGGTCGCGGCAATTCCAGAGGCATATGGAGCGGAAACGAGCGGGCAGGATGGCGGGGGTTCCACAACTTGGCATTCCCGACATCCTCGTCGACGACGAAGAGGTGGTTAGTGGGGATGACCGTTCAGACAACGGTGATGGCCAGGATAAGCGGACAAGCCTCAGGGCCGAGGCATCCGGATCTGCCCAACGATGGAGTTGGGCCATGGGCCCCGGGGATAGAGGGTCGTACGAGCAGGGCGCCGCTCAACATCCTCTCAGCGCGCCGCGACTTTCACCCACCTCGCCGACCCAGCCGGGTTCCGGCTCGGGGTTCAATTTCGAGGTACAAACGCCGACGGGAGAGGAACCTAGCGGGAGGCTGTCCGTCAGCGGCGGGGACGTTAATAGACCGGCTCGGGCTGTCGGTTCCTCTAGGGTGGAAGATATGCTGGATGACTCGGTCTGGGTGGAAAGTATCCGCCGCAGCGCCACCATTCGGCGGTCGGATAGAGGGTCATACCGATATGGTGATGGCACGTAATAACTTGGGCGCTACGAAGATGGTTTAGTTTTTATATGGAAGGGGCGTTACTGGATCGATAGATAGGATTCTTTGTTACGATGCCGCTTGGCTTTTCAACTTGATCTGGTCGTATTACTGTATAAACATTCCAGACGTACTCTTTTTCTTTTTCTTCCAGGACGTTCGCGTGAGCACCTGCCTAGCAACGGCTTTGTAGGGAGCATCACAGCTTCTTCGTCTCTGCGTAACGCTAATACTAGTAACATTTGATGTCAGTGGAATTGTCCAGTGTCCACTCGATATTATGTAGATCTGGACTCTGGGTTGCGCGATCTATGAGCCTCGGAATATCAATTGAAGCGAACCACTTTGTGCCTCAATAGTAAGAGCGAAATTGTTTTGGATGCACAGGGTTCAGTTGCGGGTTAGCATCAATACTTCGTATTTCTAGAACCGCACGAAGTACTTCGTACGAATAAAACATTAATACTGATAATAAATGATAAAAGATAAAAGATAAAAAGATGCAACGCTGCGTCCTCGACCCTTCATGCTCGGCGATTATTGGAGTCTGTGTGTGAGATCAATGGAGCGGTGCGAAGGAATATTATTTGCTTCATATTATTATTATGGTCTGGTCAGTTCGTGAGGCAACCCCGTGTTTCACCCGTCAATCCCAGACAGTCTCTCAAGTCTCAACCCTTTCCGAATCCAGGGGCTCAGGCACAGGACAAATATCACATTTACAGTCTCCTGAAGGAAATGTTTCAGTAATACTGAGGTACACAGTCCCCCCTGCAAGCGAAGCAGGTGGTCTTAACGACTAGGTGTACTCTCACTACTTTTGTACCTCAGTATGATACCGCCTCTTGATCGTTGAGAGAGTTAACCGTACATTTTCAGGGACCTGGATCAACATCAATTGATGGCCGTCCCGGATAGGATGGAGATGGTTTATTCGTCGTGGTCTCTAAACTCAGAGGAGCTATAGCGAGGCAGAGGGCGACGGTGAGCATGTGGAGGGCATCCTAGCAGCGGGACATTGGATGAAAGCATTCCACGGAAGCTGTTGCTTCTTGAGGGTTTCTTTTCCTTTTTTGGATTTCCCCTTTTTTTCTTTTTTATATTTCTTTTTTATAACATACATGACCAAACAACTAATGCGGACCGCAGCACTTCATCATGAAACAGCGGTGCGGTGTCACGTCCAGGAGCTGCAGTCGGGGTTAAATCATAAAACCTGCGGGACGATCATACTTCTGGGACCCGTGGCGATGCATACGAAGCGCATCAATTGATGTACCTGTGTATACTCGTATGCGAACGTATGAAGTACAGAGTAGATATCATCGATTCAATAGCGGAGGAATACCATAATACAGCTCCCGCAAGCTGGAACTTAGGGAGTTCAATTGTTGGTCTCGGTGCGCAGAGCCTGCCTGTGTAAGCACAATGAACAGACCGGACAATGGGGCTGCACGAAGAACCGCGCTATTCATTGTTGTCATTGACGAAGTCTGCAAGTATGAGCAGATATTACGTGTCCCGAGAATGCTGAGAGGCTCCGAAGCTCAAATTGTTCGATGGACGTTGAGAAGCATCAATTGATCTGAAAGCTTGATGAATTACGAAGTACTTCGTAATACTATACCTGTACAAAGGTACCTGGAACTTGCAACGAGCCAGGGGGAGACAGAGCTGGTACAGGTACCGAGGTACTTCGTACAAGTGGCTGGTGCTGTGGCAACCCGCCCCGCTCCGCCCCTGCAGCGAGCTCAAAGCTGCAACGTGCAACATCAATTGATCAATTGCCCCCAGTTGCAAGACAAGCTGGACTCTGTCTGGGCTCACTTCATCTCATAACGTCTAGTGCTGCCACGCATCTCCTTCGACTTCCGTACCGCGAGACGCCAATTGATCGAACAATTGAGATCAATTGACGTGGAAAAGCGATAAAGCGATGACATTGATCGAAGTGTTCAAGCAATATCATTAAACAATTGTTACCAATTTGCAAATTGGACCTGAATATTATTATAAGACATTGTTCGATTGATTTGATGTACCTGCGTAGAGAGCTGCAATTGCCAATATTGCCAAGGGGTCATTGTATCATTGTCGAAGGTGCAATTGCAGATATTTCTTAATGACTAAAACTACCTTATCAAATAAGCCCTCCCAAGGTACGAAGTACGCATACGCAGGTAGCTGTGCACTCGCACCAAAGCAGTCTAGAACTTGGACAGATGTTTGTTAGAGAAGAAGTGCACGAAGTACGAAGTACATACATACATAAAGCAGGGACGTCAGGGGCATCAGGGGCACCAGGATGAGCCTTTACCCCTTCCGAGCCCCTCTTCTTGCAGGTGGGACTAGCATCAAGTTGCCGTCCTCATACGAAGTTGCCCGCGTCCCTTTGGGAATCACGGACTCTTGGCCGATCATCTGCCAGGGACAACCACCCTGAGCTTGGCCCAAAACAGGGGAGAAGGCATGAGCATTGGCACAAGCATGAGACAGCGCAGAGGCTGTGAATGGAAGTGGGGGTGGTATTGTACCGTTGTTACCTGCAACGACGCAAACCGCATCCATCTCCATTACAATATCCCCCCGGTGTTGAGCGGGCGAGCAATATCTCGACATCTTATTTATTAGTAGCTTCTTTTCTTCCTTTCCCGGCTTCGAGGACCTTTTTCCCTTCCTTCCTGCCTCTCGCGCTTGTCGTCTCGTCGCTGTCTCACGTCGATCTTTCATTCCCTTCTTTGCTATCTGAGGTTGCTCTGCCCTGGTTCGGCAAACCCTCGCTTTCTTTTCGATTCTTGTCTTATTCGACTGGCCCTGCTTTTTTCTAAAATCGCCGTCCCATCTTTTATTTTTTTGGTCTCTCTTTTTCTCAAATTTGATACAACATCACCGAGTCCCGCCCAACCCTTCTTGAGACACCACAGAGCAAAAGGGTATAAGTCCAGCGACATCGTCTAAGACAGCCACGCTTCGTTTCCCGGTAGACAGTCACGCCTCGGCCAAGCGACTGCGACTGCTCCCTATCAACGGACAGTGTATGTTATATGTGTATATATATTACACATATATCTCCCTCCGAAGTTGATTCCTCGTCCTGTGCAAGACGTCAACCTCCTGTTCCCGTGTTCACCTTTAGAAGTTGCCACCATCGTTACCCTCCGACCCGGCCCAACACTTCTAGTCAAGATGCAGTCCTCCAGGTTCCACGCTATTGCCTCCCGCTTCTCGCCATCCACCCTCCGCACCTCCTTCCGCCGCTCATCCTCGGCCTCATCCCGGCCAAGCAGCAATCGTGACTCCATTGCCTCCACCGTGTCCTCGCCCGTAAGCACCATCAACAGCATCATCTTCCGCCAGCCCTCCATCGTCGACCTCGAGGAGGAGAGGAGGAGTTTCGCTAGCGAGCTGAACATCCTGGAGCCCCGGCCCATTGTTTACTGGGCTGGTGTTGAGGAGCGCATGGCGCATTTCTAAAACACTTGACATGACGGCCTACTTGCGTGATGGTTCTCATCCATCCAACAAAAAGCAAGTGGGAACCACTCCCGACCTCTGGGATTTGGAAATCCCTGTGAGCCTATTGAAGAAAGACTGGGGATGAATCAATCAGTTCTCCTCTTTCGTCTCGCCTTTCTCTTCTCTTCTTTACTCGCTCCTCCCTCGACGCACGACGGATGGGACAAACAAAACACACACATTTCACAACTCTCCCTTACACATCAACTCCCTTAATAACAACTCGGTTGTTCGAAGAGAACAACACAGGGTTCGGTTTTATCTCTGGTATCATCGGAGATCCTACTTTTTCTTTTTTTCCCTTCCTCTTCCAGTCCTAGCTCTAGCCTCGGGCATAAGACTAGACTATATTTCATTGCTTTCGACACTTTGGGTATCGGATGGTTTTGGCGCAGGACATGGCGTTTATGGTGGGATATGTCATTTATCACGACCGGATGAGGCGTACACCTCGGCGATATTCCTTTATTCTTTTTTTTTTTTTCTTTCATTTCCTTGATGACATGAAAAGCTTGGGTGGTTTTTCACTTTTGGCGGCCTCGTCCGTTCCCGGCCGGCTCTGTTGGCGATTTTTTGTTTCCTCGTCTTCCTGAATCTACGTATGTTTTCTAGGCTGCTTCAATACCGAAAACAAGAGATATCGTAGTACCCAACGAGCGTTTCCTACTTGACGAGAAAGGACAACAATGACGTTTTACCAACTTTTTCTTTGACGCCCTGTCTGGCTTACTTCGTGTTCCAACGAGATAAATAGTGCTGCAGAAGCCAAGAGCTTGCTCTGATTGTCTTGTGCATGGGTCGGCAAGACATACTTGTAAAGCTTCATTGTATCATCCCTGGCCCTGCAACAGGTAGTAACCAGAGAAATAAGGAATCAAGACCGAGGCAGGGGCCCAACACTCGGAGAGATTGTGCTCCCATTACCTTTGTACGTCTAGGACCCGTAAACTAATAACAAGACAAGTACATTCTGGGGAACCCAGGTGCAGGAAGTCGATCACCGACGAATCAATCTTCTACAAACCAGAGAAATCGGGGCAGAAACCTACAAGGAACGGGGACCACGAACGAAGCCGAGGCCGAGGCAGGCAGCCTATTCTAGAAGCCATTTTCGTTTCCCGGACCTCCAAGCTGCTGCTGGAGGAGATACACATAGCGTATCCCCAACAACATCCATCGGCTTCCGCATCCCTCGTCAACCCTAACGCTCACATCCATCACCCATCAAGCCAAAAAGGCCACCATCGCTACCATAAAAGAAATTATTAAGTTATACCGAACCGAGTTCTCACTCGAACACGTTTCTAAAAACGCTCACAAGACATAATTTTTTTTTTGTTGCCCCGTCTTTGGAGGAAGAAAACTATGCACGTTTCAAAGCGCCAGATCTTTGCAAAGCGCCCCCATTTGTGCTCCAATGACCCGAGATACATGGATGATGATGATAAAAAAAACAAGTCGAAAGCAGGATAGAGTTAAAAAAAAAAGAAGAGATGAAATAATAAAAGGAGGATGCGGCAGGGAGGAAAAGACGAGAAAAAAGAAAGAGAAAACAAGACTCCATGACGCCCGCCGAATCCCAATCTCAAGTGAGTAATTTAATCCCTAACGGCAACTTCGACGTAAATGAAAGCACCAATGACAGCTTTCTCCCAATACAGAACCGGCCTTTGCCTTCCTTCCGCTTAGTCCGACGCAGGAAACCGTGCATTATCCTCATCCTCATCCCCTCGCCCATCCGTGGCCGACGTCGTTGTGGAATCTCTCGCTCCCAGAGGCGGGGGAGGAGGGTCGTTTGTCTAAAAGAGTTTTCATAAAGCGCCTTCCCATTGCTCGTGGATACCACCAGCCTGCCAGCACTGGCCAATATCCGAGCTGGTGGAAAACCAGTCGTAAAATATACGCATGTTTAAAAAAAAAAAAAAACAAGGAACCGCGTGTACCGTGTGTTATAGACAGCATGTGCTGCACAAGCGTCCGATGTTGGCATAACTCTACGAGATTTGGTCAAGAGTAAGCCTGACATCAACGATGTCGAAATGGTGCGCGTTCAGCTTGGCCCAGTTGCGCGCAATGATGGAGGCTGTGATTTGGACAAGTCAATAAAATGAACACCCACAGCAAATAGTGACATGCAGAATGAATCTCGAGAAGAGAGAGGAGACAACATACCTTTGAGGAACTTCTTACTAGCGTACTTCTTCAGGAACGCATCATGGACGGGGGGCCGGGCGAGGTAGTCAACCATGAGCTGGACGACGGGCTCGATCTCATCTTCGGTATAGCCGGCATAAAAGGCAATGGTGTCATCCTGGTGGCGATGTTAGCTGCCAATTGACTTCCCAATCGATTGCTTCCTACAACTAGCACCACCACCATAACAGAATTTACTTACCCACTCGCCACGGTCCAGAATGAGTCTCGACAGATACATAGCACCAGCAGCAACATGGCTTGGGCGATAAGCCATGAAGCGATGGTCGAGAAGGCTGATCTCCATAAGATACTTGCCGATGGTACGCGACTGGATGTCGTAGTTATCGGCCTTGGAGATTCGACGGAGGAAGTTCATGGGGTTCGGGTAGCTCAAATCATAGTTCAATGTGCCGAGGATGCATCGCTCCGCGGAGAGGATCTCGGCCTCCGAAAAGCCGTCATCGGCAACGTGACTAAAGTTGGCGACGTGGGGGGAGAGAACCTCTTCGTACTTAGAGGCGATGAACATGGCCGTGATGCCGACGAGTTGTAGGCGGTCGAGCTGAACGACCTTTTCGGAGAGGAAGCGGTCAATGATGTTGACGGCAAGGAATAGGGTCTCGGGGAGAAGGTGGAAACGGGTGTGGACCTCGACAAGCCAGTCGATGAGAATGCCACGCATCTTCCACTCCAACTCGTCCTGATGATCCATGTAATTGGGATTCGGGATGGTGTTAACCTCCAGATCTCTCAAATACTCAAAGATCTCATGTGCATACTCCGCAACCATAAGCGGGTCATCGAGGTCCTCGGGATCTGGGTCCTCAACACCGGGAGGAAATACAATAGTCGGTTCGGGCTTTACGCGTACCGGCTCAGGTTCGCATTTGGGGACAACATCTTCTTCCTTCTCCTCGCGGAAGCGTCGTTCCGCGTCGCCGGTATAGGCCTTCTTGCGTAGCGGCTCACGGTCGGCAACGGTCTCTGTGGTTCCCGAGCTGGTGCTTATGCTTGGAACCTTGCGCTTTGGTACACCGGTGACGCTGGCTTTGGTGCTGCCAGCACGTCGAACGTCGACGTTCGCTCTCGAGGCCTTGGGAACCATGGCAGCCCGGCCCGACGATCGAGTAGATTTCCGGATGCCCGTGGGTTGGGCGGCCTTGGAGACCAGGCCGGCCCTAACTGCGGGCTTCTTGCCCTCAACTGCCTCTCCCTTCGTAACATTGCTCACATCACCGAGGGCGGCACGCTTGCGTTGTAAACCCTGCACCTGGGAGGTTGTGACGGTCTTTTTTGTCTGGAGAGCCTTGCTGGGGAGGGCGAGTTCGTCGACACCCAGGGCAGCTGCTTTGGCTCGTGTCATACGCGTCGAACTGCTGTTTTCATCGTTCTCATTCGAGACAGGTCGCGTTTGGAGAGTGCGGCCCTATATGGTGTGAGTGGTGTGAGTCTTCCAGCTGCCGCGAATGTCATCGAATTGGAACCCTCGCAACCGAGGTCCACGGAGAATAAGTGGGAAACACATACAGGAGGCATTGTGTGTGAATGCAGCTCGCGGTTGGTAGCGAGACTTGGGTATGAATCGAAAGAGAATCGGGGAGTCGAGCCTGCTTCACCGGTTAGTTCTTCACATAGTTTCCCAGCCCAAACTCCAACTCCCGAGAGCCCTTGCAAAAGCCTTGCTGCGGCTATATATAAAGAAAAATGCTGTAACGAAACATACACACACACGTGTTGAAGGGGGGTGACGAACAGGCTAGAGGTCAATATCACAAACGGTCTCTAGTATTACAGACGTGATTGACGAAGCCCAAGTTGCACTGCACTGAGCTGTCGGGTGGTCGGGGTCGAAGCATAAGCGGGAGATGCTGTCGTAAAATGGAGAGGTTAGGGAAACAAGATAGGAAAGCCGGAAGATCGATGAGGAAAAGTGCGGTGTTTATGTTGGCAAGCTGCCGCGATGGTGGAGTTTTGGTTGTTTGGCGGAAGGGGACGTGGGCCCTGAGATTGACCGTGGGTTTCGCGGGCGTGTCTGGGGTACGTACCTTGGGTCTCCACGCCAAGTAATTTCCCGGGTGCAAATTTCAGACGCGAGGCACCGTCGCTATGGCAATTATGCGAGCGGACGAGGTGGAGACGTGTGTTTGTTCCCGCCGAAAGAGGAAACGAATAAATAAAGATTAAAAAAAGAGAAGAGAACGAAGGGAAAGAGGTGAGGAGCTGAAGAGAGAAATCTGAAGGCTGGAGACTGGGGATATCGCTCTTATATCTTATAGAAGATATTTCGAGCGAGTACGGAGATGGGCGAGCAGGATCCTAAGGTCAGGGTCGTCGAAGATGAGAACACTGAACGGCAGTCAATTGTCATGTACTTCCCAGGAGTCTATGACTGTATCGACTCTTACCAGTGTTGTTGTCGTGGTTGGCATGGAGGACCTTGTCAAGAATGCAACTTCAAGGTTGCAGGAGATGGGAATATTGAGGTTGAATCAGACGCGAATTCTCACCATGCCAGAGTCATCTTAGCACCATGTCTTGGTGAATATCAACAGGGGCAACCGCCAAGCAACAGAATTTCTATTGGCTCCCTGCTTTTGTCTTCCTGCCTCGTCGCGTCCCAATTGTGGGGTCAAGTCTCGCTCATAGAACACGGTACAAGGAACATCCACGAGGGTCGGCGCCAGGAATCATGTCAGATGTTGCCAGACGCCAGACTCCAGACGCCAGGCCTTGAATTCACAACTTCACCCCCTCCACAAGATCGAAAGGCATAAAGTCAAAAGTATGGTTGAATCATAATTAAGGTGCACCATCCATCATTGATCCAATTGATCAAGCCACAAGCGTAGTTCGACAAGATCCACCAGCCACTTCCTAGCTCGATCAAATTGTGGCGCAGCCCATTGGACCTGGGCCATTCGAACCACCCAGCGAAATTTTACAATTGGATGATCGATCGAGGCTCTCAAATCTTCAAGGGCCGCCGAGCAACCTTTGGTCTCACTCAATTGGGGAACAACTGCATTACTTCCGATTCTCCAGCTCGCCGGCCACGAAGGAGAAGTTCTACCGATTCCCCGAGCCCGCTCGCAATGCCATCTCGCCACGATTGGCAACCGAGCTTGACCCAATAATTCGACTGAGAGCATTTCGAGTCGTCGTTAAACCGCTGCACCCACCGCGTCTCCTCAGATACAACTCTCCCTCCAACACCAGCCGAGCATGCTAGGCCCACGATTGGCCACGCGCCTCTATGGCCGCGGCATCACCACCATCCGACTCTCTCCGCGCCATTTCTCCCTGAGCAATGCTCATCAGTATTCCACCGGAACAGATGCAACTAGCTCACCTGCGACCACCACCGGCGCTGCGACCCCATCCCCAAAAGAGAGTGTCGTCCTGAGCAAATTCATGCCCGCCGTGAACACGGAGAGAAACGCCAAGGATACCGTCATCCTGCGCACATATAAGCCTCGAACCCCTGGTCTCCGACATCTCAAACGTCCCATCAACGACCACCTCTGGAAGGGTCGACCCTTCCTACCCCTGACGATTCCCAAGAAGGGTCACGGAAAGGGAGGAAGAAACTCGAGCGGCAAGATTACCGTAAGGCACAGGGGAGGTGGTGCCAAGCGGAGGATTCGTACCGTCGATTTCGATAGATTTCGCCCCGGTCCGCACATTGTCGACCGTATCGAGTACGACCCGGGCCGAAGCGCCCATATCGCCCTTATTACCGAGCAGGCTACGGGGAGGAAGACGTATATTGTTGCTGCCGACGGCATGCGCGCGGGAGATGTCGTCCAGAGTTACCGCTCGGGCATTCCCCAGGACCTTCTCGACAGCATGGGTGGCATCATTGATCCTGGTATCTTGGCGGCGAAAACTGCTTTCCGCGGAAACTGCCTTCCCGTCCATCTCATTCCCGTGGGAACCGTGGTATACAATCTCGGATCTAGGTCCAAGGGCCCCGCTGTCTTCTGCCGAAGCGCCGGAACCCACGCCACTATAATATCCAAGGAGGAAGAGACGAGGGAGGATGGTACCAAAGTCATGACGGGCCAGTACGTCAATGTGCAGCTCCAGAGCGGCGAGATCAGGAGGGTGCATAAAGATGCCTGCGCCACGATTGGCGTGGCCAGCAACCCCCACCACCAATACCGGCAGCTCGGCAAGGCTGGGAGGAGCCGCTGGCTTAACATTCGACCAACCGTCCGTGGTGTTGCCATGAACAGAGGTAAGTTTGCTCTTCATTCGGGGTGCCATAGGCCTCTTTCATTCACGGTCCTCTTCAGTTTTGTTCATATGCTAACAATGAGTCAATAGTTGATCATCCCCACGGTGGTGGCCGTGGTAAATCGAAGAGTAACCGTCACCCTACAAGTCCCTGGGGTACTCCGGTAAGTTATTCATCATTACATGCATACCCATTCGTTTCTATCTGTAGAACATACGCTTATACAAGTATCCAAACAATAGGCCAAGGGAGGTTACAAGACCCGTCGCAAGCACAATCACAACAAGTGGGTTGTCGTTCCTCGCGTCCGCAACGTCGAGAAGAGGCAGGAGAAGAATGCCAAGAAGTCGTAGTCGAAATCCCACTTGTGGAGGTGTTGAACCACTGGATTTTCTACGCTTATAAACCGTCTAGGCAGAATGCCATCGGAAGCGTATTATCATTCCAGACAGGTCCTGAGGTGTACGATGTAGTCGGCTATTTGTTGTGTACTTATATTGTCTTGACTCTGATAGATTGGTGGAATGTTGAACTACGTAGACGAGCCACTGTCGCAATCTCACGGAAATGCAGGAGCCTGTTGTTTTGTTTTATATCCTGGCGTTGTGAGCGCTATTGCATGGTCTTTTCCAAGTTGAAAGAGTACTCGTGGTCCAGGATCATGGCCATCTAGGGTACTATCTGAGTGTGGCTCTCCTGTCTAGGTTCTAGGTGCTTTGGCTTTTTGGTGGAGATTTCGGTATTGAACCGCAATGCTAGCCAACATGGCTTCGTTTCCTATGAGGCTACAAAGCTGGAATGCTCGGGGTCTCTCTGATACAAGGCCCGCATGGGAGGCAAAATCCTTGACTCGCGATCTTGCCAACTAGGCAGTGGGTATGAAAGAATGCGGCAGCCCGAGACTGCAACTGGATCCCTGGACTAGCCAGCACGAGCACAAAAAAGAGAAGCGGAAGAAAGGAAAGGAAGAAAAAAAAAAAAAAAAAAAAAAAAAAAAAGACGGGCATTTTGCGAGGATGATCATCCCGGATAGACAATTATCAGTCACCCATTCCGGGCAAGAATCGCATTTTAATCTCACTTACAAATGCGTCATCCCCCCGAAATCCTTCGCGCCAGCTCTTCTTCCTTTGAACATGTGTCCCACCTAGTCACCCAAGGCTTTTGAAGGGGCATGGCGAATAAGACAGCTTCAAGAAACGAGCGGACAATTTGCCCACCACAGCTGTTTAGGGTTTTACGAAGGCAAGGTCCGTTGTTCTTCTGGAAGTGGCGGAGGATTCGAGGAAAGGGCAAGAGCGGCACGCCGATGCCGAGAACAATGCTGTCGCTTTCAGCTCAGCCTCAATTAGTCGCAATCGGCCGACAAAAGATATGTCACCAGAACCGCCGGCAGCTCGTGCCAAAAACGGGTCGAAGGATCTGTAATGTGGCACAGAACTCGGCCTGGCCAAACTCCGAACCGTCAAACTACCCACGTACACATGGGCCGGGCTGCGGGTGTGGCTTGGCTGTGTGTAAGACAGAGACCTCTAGGCCAAATGCCGGCGGCTATTCACCTGGGCCCTAAGAGCCATCTCCATGCCCTAGCCGTACGAGAACCTCCATCCTCGCATCTATGAACCAGTACCATACCTAACATTCTGCCGTCCGTCGAGCCATCATTGGAGCTGCGATGCCAGCTGTCTATCTCCCGAGGAATGTTACCTTCGCGTGGAAGGGTTCACGCCATTGTTCTCATTCATGATGAATAAATACTTCGTAAGAGAACAAAGGCCGCTGAGCGTCGTCGTCTGCCCATTGGAATTTGAATCAATTTCGATTTAGTGTATTATTACATGGCAACTGTCGCCTTTGCTCTGTCAAGGTGTCAAACAATTGAAGGTGGCTGAGAATCAGTCGTACAACTAACTGTGCTTCATATTGATGATGAGTCAGCCACAGTGGAATTCAGGAGTACGATCCAAGTCTTTGAAATTAGGCTCTCGTCTCGGGTTTCATAGAGTTTCAGGAACACTGAACCGTGCGGGCCGCAAATTTGCGTGTTGCTATATTAATATGAGCAGCCTGGCGACACCAACGGCTTCCAAGGCTCGTGGGAATTTCATGTAATTACTTGGGTAGTCTTTGCTACCCAAAGCGAGGGGGATACTGGTTTACTATGTAGCTCGGGACGGGACGATAATTCGAATCCTGTCTGACATTGAATTATTATTTCCTTGTTCGACCTGGCTTCAATTTGATCCATGTTGCGATGGAGGCTCCGGATGATATGTCATCATTTGCTTGCAGCTATCTCGTATCTCGGTACGAAGTGGGTTCTTTCGCTCCACTGCTTCCACTGCTGCTGATTCTGCTGATTCGACCCCATCCTCTCTTCATATTCCACCCTGCAAGGATTACGACGACGATTGAAGCGGTCTTGGTGATCAAGTCGCTCTGGTTGGCCAGCGGCAGGCGCAAGAAACACAGTAGCCTTGGCGCTAAACCCCATACTGTACCGGATTGCGTGGCCAGGTCAGCCCAGTTGAGGCGGTGCCGGGCAGTTTCTCCCGCAGCGGAAACACTTAGTGGATGCCAATGGATGGTGGCTGCGACGAGTTGCGACGAGAAGTCAGGACCCCTAAATTAGAACATACAGGCTGGGCGTTTCAGGGTGTACGTACCTTGGATCCCCCAGGGATGCCCCTTGGCGTTTCTTGTGCCTGGCCGAAAGGCCCGTTTACTGCTGGCAGTGCTGTGCTTGCACTGTGTCGCGTGCAACACTGCCCTGGACGGAACAATTCTAAAGATCGATGAAAGCTGAGTGGTTGCCAGTGAGCGACAGGATGACAAGACGACTTATTGCCTATTCTGGAAGGATGAAGTACCAAGTATTAAATTAGTGTTAAAAAAGTAAGAAAAACGAAGAGGCTCTTTTTGATCGGCTCCAATAAAGGAGCAAGGACCTTTTCTCTTCCGTCGATGATACTTTTACTTCATAATAATATTCAGACCTCCTGCCCCCTTGACCAAGCTCGCTTGCAGCCAGTCCCGTACGACTTTCGAAATAAACGAAACACCACCTCCTCCTTGGTATATTGGTCGCGTGTCTCCCTACCCTTCCCCTTCCCCTCCGCTCTCCTTCTTCCTCGTCTCTTTTCTAGACTACCAACCAACCGACACAGTTGGGTATGATACTTGGGGGCTCCCTTTCGCCGCCGCACCAGACAGGCAACCCAAGTCGAGACTCTCTCCTCGAACCACTTACACAACCCCGAGTGCCGACACCGACTCCAAACATGGCGAATCCACGGAAGCCGTCCTCGAAAAAGGGCGCCATACTGGTGACCACATCCTACGTCTTCGACTGGGTTGTCATCATCGCTCTTGGCATCGCGGGCTATATCATGGGTGACCACACGCCGAACAAGCGCCCATTCTACCTCTCAGATCCAAATATCTCGTAAGGGAAACCCCAAAGCCAGAGACAAATGCACTCACATTCTCGCCCAATGTTTCCCCCCCGCTGACTTCCTCTCTTTCGTCTGCCTCTAGCTTCCCGTTTACGACCAAGGAAACCGTTCCAACCATGATGTTGGTGATCCTCAACAGCAGCATCCCCATTGGCGTCATCTTGATCGTGTGCCTCATCTTCGTCCCCGGCTCGACAGTACCAAAGGGCACCCCGAAGTCCCTCATTTGGCGCCGGAAACTATGGGAACTCCACGTCGGCTGGCTAGGTCTAGCCCTATCCGTAGGATCCGCCTGGTTCTTCACCAACGGCATGAAGAATCTCTTCGGCAAGCCGAGGCCCGACATGCTCTCCAGGTGTAAGCCCGACCTGGACAATATCCAGAAATACATCGTCGGCGGTGGTCTTCTGCCCGGTGATCTAAACGCCCTCGTCTCCGCCGACATCTGCACGAACACCGATAAAGCGCTTCTTGACGACGGCTTCCGCAGTTTTCCTAGTGGCCACTCCTCGTCCGCTGCCGCCGGCCTGATCTACTTGTCCCTCTTCCTCGCAAGCAAGTTCGCAGTGACCCTCCCGTTCCTGCCCCCGACGTCCTCCGCCGCTCTGAACGAATCCTCGCTGTCCGCCTTTCCTTCACGCCTAAGTCGTCAGGCCGCCGAGATTACCGAATACGGAGCTCTTGATCAGAAGGACGACGGTACCTACTCTATCAGAGACGGAACCGTGCAAACCACCGTCATGGCTGCCCGAAGACAGGCCGCCGCCCCGCCCATCTATCTCCTCGTCCTCGCGCTTCTACCGTTTTTCGCATCCATCTTCATCGCCTCGTCTAGATGGTTCGATTTCCGCCATCACGGATTCGACATCATGTTCGGCTACCTCATCGGCACCGTCGTCAGCATCTACAGCTTCCGCTACTACCATTTGCCCATCAGCTCCGGCGCCGGATGGGCTTGGGCTCCCAGGAGCCCTGATAGGGCGTTCTGGGCCGGCGTCGGCTGCTATAGCTACGCAACTTATAACAACCACCCGTCGCCTTCAAGGCGGCCGTTGGATGAGGAGGAGGCTATTGAGATGGAGGGCACGAGGCGGAGACGGACCGGTCTTAGCCCAGATGGTCAGTCTCGCCTCGGGACGCCCCCGGATATGTGAAAATGAAGACGACTCCTGTTTCTTGAGGACGTGTTTTTTTGCATTTTCCATGTCTTCTTCCAGTCATCAACGTGCATTTTAAAAGATTCCCCTCTTATTCCCGACAGTTTTACCGTTTTATCTGTTATCTTTTTCCTCTCTTTCTTTTTCACTTGTTATGTCTCTATGTGCAGAGGGCGGTCAAATAGAGTCATGGTATGGTCGGTCGGTCGGTCGATAGGTGTACACGGAGTTATGGTCGGCTCTCATTGCATTGCATAGAATGGGAGCACAGGGAATGGCGTTTCGGTTGTTACGAGTCCCTCATACATTTTAGTTCACAAGTCTTGAAACGGTGTTTACCAAGAGAAGCATTATTATCCTTCAACTCTATGAAGATGGTCTGGGTGACAAAAGAGATCGAGGCGATCGCTTTGTCGCCGGCTGTTTAATAAAACACATTGAACCCGGTCAAAATCCCTACTAGATGTGAACATTACATTTCAATTAATCTAACTTGTCTGCATAGAAATCCCGTATGTGTATGTGTGTTTCGGGAGTCAACTACATTTTTCCTCGCTTCGCCCACTTATCCCTCGCACATTCTTTCTTTTCCATTTTCGTTTTTTGGCGTTCAACAAGGGGAGAAAATAACCAGAAAAAGAAAAGAACCTATTCCGGAACGCCAAATAGTCTCCTGCTGCGGCCCAGTCACCTCATAGATATGCGGAGAAGGAGGTCGGAAGCCACAGCAGCATGTCGATGAAGAGGTGGATACAGAATCAAGCCCCAGACACCCCCAGCGATGTCGTCACATAAACGAGAGCCAGAAGAGATGATAAAGGGGCACATTCCAGAAGATAAAAAAGAAAAAAAAAAAAAAAAAAAAAAAAAAGAAAAAGAAAAGAAAAAACTCTAGCCAGCATTATTCAAGTTATTCGGCGCAACAAGAGCCCTCTCCCCCACCCCCTCAAACTCCACATCTTCATCCTCCTCCACCTCCTCCTCCTCATCAAAATCATCCCTAAACCCACTGTCAACTTCCATCTTCCTGAGCCTCCTCCGCATCTCCTCGCGCTGATGATCCTGCCAGCGGATGAGGGCGGCCGAGGCGTGGACCTTGAAGCCGTAGACGCGGGGCACGTAGCGGTCTGCGCTCTTGGTGGGCACGAGGGTCGAGTAGACCTGGAAGAGGATGTTGTGGAAGGAGGTGCCGAAGTAGGCGCCGTCGATGCTAGCGTGGCGGGAGGATTTGGGGTTGTAGATGTCCTCGCATTTGGCGCAGTAGAGCTTTACGGGCTTGAGGTTGGGGACGTCGGAGAGGCCCATGGGGAGGAGGGGGTGGGAGTTGCACATGACTCGGGGGCATTTCCCGAATTCGGCTTTCTTGTACTTGTCGAGCTGTAGTGAAAGAGAGCCGGGTTAGCCACGAGTTTATGTCAAAAGGAGTTGAAGCAAGAGAACGAAGCCCTAAGCAAACATCCCGCCACAAAAGGGGGAGACCAACCATCCGAGCTAATCCGCGAGTCGTGACAATATATCTCGCGTGTACCAGGCCGTAAAGGTGACGTGCCGACTTCTCGATCGCATCCCTCATAGAATCCTCGCAGTCGAGGTCGAACGAATCCGTCACGAGCTCCAGAGCATATTGGTAGTACTGCACCTCTGTGTTGAGACCGGTAAGGTTGAACCTATCCAGAATGTATTCCTCGTCGATTTCGCAGAAGTACTCATTGCCGCGGGATGACAGGAACTGAGAGAAGGGAATGGCAATCAGTGGGAGATCTTGGATGAGTTTTGCAACGGCAGAGGATCGTCCGGCAGAGGGCTTCAACCTACCCAGTCGCGCCAATAGCTCGTATATTCGCTGTCAGTCTCGCTCACAAAGTCATCCATACTGAAGGACCTTCGTCGTCGGCGCGGGCGGCCCAAGGGCACAGGAGCCGCAGATCGATGAGAGGAATCGTTGGAGGGGTAATTCTAGGTGGGGGGGTTGTTTCGATGAGTAAGTAGACCGAGACGTGGGACTGCTACTCGATCGTGGAAAAGAACCTGGAGCGAACCGGTCTAGGAAGTGTCGGGTAGCGTGACCAAGCCGGGATAATGGCAAACCAAGACTGCTTCCGATCGAACGGAAGAAGGTCGGTGACGGTGGGTGCGATTGAGGTTGGATGCGATATCTCGTGGTGGTGGGGATTTTAGCTTTGCAAGGTTGTGGTTGATTTGCTGGCGGGTTTGACAGGTCGAGGCTGACAGCCGCAGCCAGGCGTGCACCAAATCGGGGCCCTGCCATGACTACCCGCAGAGCATGAGAATTGATACCATCACTGAGAAAGGGTACAGATAGAAGATGGTCTCGGATTTCACCTATTCGAATTCTACAAGGTGAGGTATATTTATTATCAACTGATCTTTCTGACACTCCTGTACTTGAACTGAATACCATGTGCTCCGTAAAATGCTTCGCCTGATCGGCCTGGCAACACTATATAAAATACAACCATCAGGCGTCTCATCCTAGGAGTCGGATTTCCCTCTCATCCGTAATTATATCAGGCTTGCCTACTATGCCTAGTCCCTCAGCTATCCCCCAGACCTGTCCCGTTAAGATGAAGACGAGCCCCCATCCCAAGCCTAAGAGCAAGATCATCACTCCTCCCCTCATCCGCCAAGGACACCTTCACCGACTCCATAGCCCCCCGAAGAACATTCCCCGTCTCATCCAACGCCGCCAAAAACCTCGCCAACTCCTTACAGAGCTCCCAATCCTGCTCCCTTATCGCCCTCGAAAACAGCCGTACCGACTGCTCCGAGATCGACTCCGCCTCCTCTAGCGTGTGGAGGATGAGCAGGTAGCCGCCCGCCGTCTTCGAGGATCCCCGCTGCAGGGACTCCTCGAAGAGCTCTTGCACTGGGGGTAGGTAGGAGAAGAGGGTTTTCCACTGGCGGACTTCGGTTTTGCGCGTGCATTGTAGGACGATATCGAGATATTCTTTGAAGGAGGAGAGGAGGGAGAGTACGCGGGGTAGGATGGCCTCTTCGGGGCGCGGGGATGCGTCTACTTCGTCGTCTAGGACGTTGTGGAGTAGGACCTCGAGGGCGTGCGGGAAGTATTCTAGATTTTCGTATTGCTGCGCGAGATAGAGGGCTTCTGTCTTCATGTTCCGAACGAGATAGTATCGAAGCATGTCCGACAAAAACAGATGTGTCTTCAGAAAAAGGAAGGAAAAAATATTAGTCTTTCAGATTGGCCCTTTGCAGCTGGTGTTGGCTTACCCTTATGTTGAAGCGGAAGAACGAGAAACTGATATCCCGCCGCTGGACAAGTTCCGACTCGACACCAAGAACGATCGCTTTGTCTAGAAGCATCGACAACGGATAGAAATCCATGGGAATGTAAACCGTATCAGGCAACGCCTGCGAATGCTCCGCCGACACGGCGTCCAGCACATCTTGAACCTCGGCCCAGACCTTGAGGCCATTCCCATCATACACCCAAAGCGAGGACCGTAGATTGACCCCGCCGCTTACCGCAGCGCTTAACTGCTGCTGACCATCATCGACCTGCTGCTGCGGTAGCCCTAGCACGGAAAAGGGTTCGTCACGCATGTTGGCGTGGAACTCGACATTCTGCGCGATGACTCTCATGTCGTACTTGAGATTGCCCTCTTCAGACACCGACGGACGCAACAGCACGAGTTTCCCATCGACGAGGAACAGCACCGAGGCGACAGTCACGTCTTGCGACGGATCCCCTTCGGCGAGGTGGCGCTCGGGCAGAATCCAGCTCAGGCCTCGCACCCTGGCTGGCGATCGCACAATTCCGTGGAATGCGATCTGGCCTACTTGAATCAGGCGCACCGATCCGGAAACGGGTGTAAGTATGAAGTGGTGGAGGAGATTGTCATGTGTGTAAACCAGCACCGAGTCGTCTTCGCAGGATGTGACTAGCACGATCGGTGCTGGGATGCGCTCGATGTGGAGGGCTTGCGAGTTGTCCAAGGGCGCCTCTCTCGAGTAGAGGCGGAGTTCGTATGATTTATTAGCTTCCACGGCAGCGACAAGAATATGCTGGTACCAACACATTCCCCCCTTGACCTGGAATTCGTTCTCCATGGCGGGATCGGTAAATGTCTTCCATCTTCCACTATTCACGCTGTAGTGAGCCAAGCCTCTCCGCCCTGCTACGGCGACATACCTGCCGTCAGGTGAGATCACGGTACACCGTATCGGCCACTGGTTTAGAAGATATAGCGACGGAATCTTGGCGGTGTGCCAAAGAAACGGCTCCGCCGATATCGTCGTCAAGTCGGGCAAGTCATAGCCCCGATACACCGAGACGCTAGTTGACGTTTGGAGGACGGTACGAAATATGTTGGACGAAGTGTAGCAGCTCGAGACGGCACTTCGCGCCATTTCGAGAACCCATATCGCGTCATTGCGGTCGTTGGTGAGCAAAAGCTCGGATGAGCCCCCTATCCAACTTGCGGCGTCTACCCCCTCGAGCCACTCGTTCTCATCTCCCGTGCCCGTGGGAACGGCCTGGTCCACGTCGAAGGTGTGGCTTCCCGCTTTTCCATATACGCTCCACGTCGCCCACCCCCTCTCGAACCCGGCGAAAAGGCAATATCCATCAGTTGAATACGCGAGGGTCGTAAGCTTCCCAGTTCTAGAGTTCGATACCGGAACGCTATGTGTGTGGGAGGGGGGGATATTGCCGGAATAATCTTTCGCAGAGTAAACCCGTACGACTCCGTCCTTACAGCCGACGGCTATTAGAGAAAACCTCGCGTTGATGACTGCCTGGAGAGCGCGACTCCCCGAGTCCTGGGGTTCGTGGAAACAGTGACCTTTGAACAATCGTTTTGCCTCCGAGGACTCCGCCGAATGATTGGATGCCGAGGCGGCCCCCGAGGATTGGAGACGCTGGACAGCGTATACCTGGCCGTCCCCGGTCACCCATGTCATCAAGTTCATGGGCCTGTCGTAGGTCATTTGGATTACACTAGTTTTCTTGTCCAGCCAATTCATGCGACTCAATATCTCGGTGCGTGTCTGCTTCCCCGTCGAATCCGGAGACCATCGAATACATTGTATCGCCGCTGGCTTGCGCGTGGCAACGACCAGCTCGTCGTCTAGCGCAAGGGCGCTTTCGATACCGGCATCGACCTTGATTACCATTCGAAAACGAACGCTCGTATCCTTTACCCCCGCCCCTTCGCCGGGGCCCCATAAAAACTGATCAGGAGCAAAGCCGCCCGAGGACCCGGCGTGTGTCTGTCGGCGTCTTTGCACATTGTGGTAATTCGGGAAGTGTGGTCGGTAAACTCGCGCATCCGGATCAGCAGCCATGGAGTAAGTAATCAAGTACCCGAGGCTGGTGTGTATGACGATGATCGCACCGTCTGGGCGTAACAGAAGGCCGATATTCTTTCCGTACGTTGCAAGGGAAGTCTCGGATCGGACGACCACGGCGAGGACGACGGTAGGCTAGAGCGGCAGGCAGAATCGAAAGTTAGGCCAGGGTGTAAAACTTGTAGGGGAATCACGATAAACCCCTTTCATCCCGTACCTTTGTTTGCCAGAGGGTCATCGTCGTCGAGGTGATGACGGCGAAAATGTGGCCAGACCGCGAGACCCTGAGGGCGAGGATGGGCTCCTTGGTAGCGATGGCCCTGGGCACATCAGCGTGTCCGGAGTACGGGGCTTCCGCCGCGCCTCCGAAATCCTCATGTTCTATGGAGCGGACAGCCGGAGTTATGGGAGTGAGAGGTGTCTTCGGGGCCAGGTCATCGCCTTCGTCTGCATGTGGACCTTGTAATCGTTCGTTCGGGGGAGCGAGAAGGTTAGGAGAGGCTAGATTTGGGGAGCTGGGATTCGGGGTGCCATCGTGAGAGACATAGATGGAAGCGGGAGCGATGTTGTTGCAGGTGGCGAAGGCTTTCGGGGTTCCAATGGGCCAATACATCTCGGCATCGAGGTGATGGCGCTTGGCGACAGAGCCAGCTTAGTTCGGGGTTTGTAGTGCGGGAATGACGACGGCAGTGGCGGCGGCGGCGATTTAGATGGTTAGGGAGCACCGAGGTCGTTCCGAGGCTTCAATGTTCCTTTGGCGTTGAAAATGCCTTGCCGCGCCATTGGGGGAGTCGACGCAAGCACTACGCCGATGGTTGAGATGGTTGAGGGGTGGTCGTGGGTAAAGGAGGCTCTACTGGGCAAGGGTTGAGCTGGCCCGTCCACCTCAGCCTTATATTTAACATTGAATTACTTTGTACTTCGTAGATTAGATCAGATTAGTGCCATCATACAAACACCGCCGAATGAGTCCGCCTCCTTCTTCCGACAGCCCGATCAAATTACGAGATATACCGAGTCGAAAGCACAATTGTTATAAGCCAGCTCATATCAATTTCATGTATTAATACATTTTACTGCGAGTCGCGATATTCCGAAGGCCGAGATGGTTCAATTGTTGCCTCGCTGCTTAAAGCTTGAAGTGTCTCTATTACTCTTGACTTCCAGTTCTAGTGTAACGAACTGGTCCAACCTCATTAATGGAAAGAGAAAAACCTCCCGTCCAGCATCAATGACCAACGCCTCTTTTCAATAACCAATTCGGCCTTGGTGACCATCTAATGTTAAAGATAGATCAATACACCCACAGTTTCATCCCTGCGCTGCTATCTCAACCCCACACTCTACCATGTAATTCCTATCATGGCTTCTGCTCCGGCCTCAAGCTCTGTATACTGCGCCTTGCAAGGTCTCCCTTCTAGTGTATTTGATGGAGTATGCGAGTACCTAACAGCGGCGGGGAAGCTTGGAAAACGTGGCTTATTCGCAGGCTCCTTGGCTAGTAAGCAGCTCGCTGTCGCGACGTCTGGGTTCCGCCTCCACACGATATATCTCGAGGTAAGAGATGGGGCAAAGCTACGCCGGGATCTCGGAGAATGGTAGAAACTATTCCAAGCTAGCGATAGAGCGAGGTACATACGGCGATTGGAGATTCGTGGATATACGTAGCTGGATGGCGAGCAGAGACGGAGTGTCCGGGAGACTGATCACGACGACGACCCGTATAACACCGCTGTGTGGGCGGACAATGACGGCAATGACTTCTGGGCTCTGCCCATGAAGGCAGTCGATTTTTGGCCCTTCGGCAGGGTTCCGACCGAGGAAGAAAATGCAAGGAGAAAAGAAGCCTGGTCTCCCCTAGTCGACTCCATCCCTAACTTCACTTACCTCCGAGATGCCGTGTACGGCTGCGGCGCTCAAATTCCCGCTTCGCTACTTTTAGCTCAGAAAAGCCATCCGCAGCTTGTCCGCGTGCACGTGCACACTTTCAGTCTACGGAGTCTCTACCCGGCTAGGTCTCAACTTCACGATATCGACGCTGACGAATACCTTCTGGCTACTTCCCCGTGCCCGACCAGCGTGCGGGCTGTAGACTCTTCATCCGAGTATAATTCAGACGGCTACCCTAGCTTCAACCGAGAGGCGCTTCTACGTATGGTCTTTGGGTTCCGGGCCTGAAGTCTGTTTCAGTATCTTGGAAGCCGCTTGGCGCAACCCTCGATTCCGTGAACGCTAGTTTTCATCCGAAACCTACGTGGCCGGAGTTCTTCCATGGGGATCCCGCTATTAACGCTGCCCAGACTCGCAAAGGCGCGCTGGAGGTTCTAGCCTTCAGCGGCAACAGGACCGTGTCCTCTTCGACGATAATGGACTGGCACAACTATGTGGACTTCGGCGCGCTACGCTCGCTCCACATCTGTTCACTCGGTCCCCATCTATCTGCACTCCGGGCTCTCGCCGCGATTTCCAACTCAGAAGGCTTCAAATCTCTCCGGTGTCTTACCATGTGACTTATGTCGCCGAAAGTCATGAGCAAGGCCAATGTGACGCTGCCGCTGCCGAGTTCCTAGCTTCGCTGCCACGGCCGTTCGTTGCGGAGACTTAGGCTTAACCAGGCACTCGGGGCCCAGCTCGAGGACGGGGAGCCCTTCGTGCTTACACGCAGCCGCGTCGAAGCCCTATTTCAAGCGTGCCCAGGTCTCGAAGATCTCGAGCTCCTCGTTCCCAGATCCCAGGGTAACGAAGACGAGGCACGCATTTATAGTGCCATTGGCGAACTACATCAATTGGACCGCGTGAGTCTACGCCTAGACTGTTCTAAGCCATATATTGATGACCGTGAGGACGGTGAGGACGAAGAAACTGTCAGGCGACTCGGCTATCCTTCTAAGTACATTCGAGAAACTTTTATCAATGCCGCCGTAGACTCCCATCTTGCGGAGGACATCTTCAGCCGCATCTCCGCTCACGGAAGGCCACGCGCGATCAAGCTGCGGCCTGTATTTGTGGGTGAATTTCGAACATCTCGAGGGCTGGATGGCGAGTTTGAGCTCATTGCCGATTGCTTGAAGTCGGGTGGGTCCGGGTCCGGGATGAAAGGTCAGGCCATGACAAGGAATTTCGCTTGAGCGAGCTCGGAGCTGCGGAGAGATAGGACGCGGAGGAGGCATTAAAGGGGGGCGTAGACCCATCTTACGAACCTATCATACGAAGTATCTGGCCAGACGCAAAGGCGAACACTAAGGCGGAGTGGAAGAGCTTCCCTCTGTGGAAGGGATAACGCAGAGGTGTGAAGCCGTGAACGCCTAAGATGGATATTAGGCGGAGGAGGCTCCGATACAAGCAGTATCAGAAAGGGGGGGACGGAGTCATCCTAAGAGGTAGACTGCTCCGTACTGGAGCTTTCCGAGCCAACGACTACGCGATAGGACTAGGAGGCGTGCTCCGGGACTACTATCGGATTCTCGGCCACGGGAAGTACGACGACTTTTACGTGTCCCAGCCCGCCGCCCTACACGTCGGCTGAACCAAACGAATCCGGCGCCCATCCTAGGCGAAGCGCCTAAGGGAGGCATCGCCATCGGGGCCCCTGACCCTACCGAACCACCTGAGCCTACACCGAAGTAGCCGGAGGAGCCTGATACCTCCGGACCCCCCCTTGGCGACTTCACTACTGCTTCGCCGACCACAACAGCGACAACCATCGGCTTTCTTTCACGATGCCCGAGGCCGACAGTATAGTCGCTAGCGCAGCCGAGGAGCCTTCGCCATCCAACTTATTCAGCCCGCAGCTCCAACGACATCCTCGTGTCTGTTACTTGGGCCGTGGGACCAGTCGGCCTACCTAGCCCAAGAGCAATGTGCCCGTTTTGCGCGAAGACTGGTGCCGCGACACGGTGCGCAGATGTTGGGGCGTTGAGGAGGCTGGGAGAGCTTGGAGCTAGACATGCCGCGGAGAGATGGGTCAGCGAGATGGGGGGAGAGCCGGGGCTCTCACGAAGTGGTTTTAATGCCCGCGGTACCGAGGCGAGAGAATTGAAGCTAAGGAAGAGACGTGAAGGGTTTTTTATATACAGGGTAAATTAAAACATGAAGGCTTCTAAGGATTACATAGTACTCTTGTCCTTAACGTTGCTAGAACTCGACATTAATACCCGACACCGAAGTCGAGGCCAGTGCTGATTGGGGTACTGTGATGCACTGGGACATGCTGGTGCTTTCAATGTGCCATCACGTGCCGTGCTCAAAGTAACTACATTCCTTCCAGCGTGCATTTGATGTAGAGATTACCTGCGAAGTAGGACCAACCAACATTAATCGATAAACTGAGGAACAACACTGCATTGGTCCGGTCCCTCAGCAGCACAGGCCTTCACAGTGCTTGCCTCAGTTTTGACGACCCCAACATTCATACTTTCACCCAGCATCGAAAAGTAAAAGCCAACTTGAAGTCAACACATTTATTTCCCTTTTGTCCAGCTCAAATCTGCGACATCCTCCTCGGGTCACCCTAAGATCGAGGCCCAGTCATTACTGATCACATCCGACGCCCTCAGAAGTAGGTGTGGCCGCCAGAAGACTTCAAGGCGCAGTGGTGGGCGTGTGGCGTGTGGAGGGAGTATGCCCACTCACTAGTCAATTGATTTAGTGTACCAAGCATATTCAGTGAGTCTTGAATAGGGAGTCTCCAGAGCCCTTCTTTTCCAGGGTACCTGTCATCTTCTCGAGTTCACACCCTAAGAATTTGATACTCGAGCCTCAATCTGGTCGGAGCAGTTTCAATCACCATGGCTCCCGTGTTACGGCCGCGTCAAAGCTTGTCGAAAGACAAGTTCTCAGCCTACTTTGGTAACCTCAAAAGCACGACATACCATGACCCAAGTTCTACAAGAGGCGGCGGTGTTATGTCCCATAGGTAGGTGGAAAGCCTTGTCCCGTAAGTCGTCTCGAACCCGTATATGCCTAACAGCACCTTCTATAGTTTGAGGTCGATCTCTTGGAACCCACTAGGAACCCTAGTTGCTACTGGGGCTGCTGATAAGACCCTCCGAGTTTGTGAGTCTACCACTGCATAGATCTTGAAGATCCATCCCCGTTCTTCGGGCGGTAGAGCCCGGGTTCAGACTGACAGATTCTCCTTATTAGGGAATCCTGAGAAACCTAATGCTCGGTTCTCTACCGAGCTCAAGGGACACTCTGCTCCTATAGAAAAAGTAGCATTCAACCCTGTCAAGGATGCAGAGCTTTGCAGTGTCAGCAATGATGGCATTGTGAAGTTTTGGGATGTCAGGACCAAGAACTGTGTGAATGAAGTTAGAGGCTTAGGTGAGGCGTTCACCCTGGCCTGGGCACCCGACGGTGGCTCACTGATTGTCGGAAACAAGGTTGGTACTATACTCAATGGCCCCTCCATGAAGAGACTCCCGGCATGTTGAACTGCAGGCCTCGAGTGACCGGCTCATGCAATTTGTTCACTCGTCTGGCGTTGAAGGAACGAAACAAAGGATATTTCTAATATAAATCATCCCTAGGCCGATAATCTGTTCATTCTCTCACCAACCTCGAATAACCCTATATCATCTCACCAGCAGTCCTGCCAGACAAACCAGATATCCTTCTGCTGGAGTGGACAGAAGGTATTTGTGACGACGGGAGAGGGCAAGACACGGATACTGTCATATCCCGACCTTGAACCTGTTCTTCATCTGAATTACAAGGGTCAGCCTCGGACTGAGTTCATGTTGCATGGCCACACGTCGTCATGCCTGACCACCGAACTCCAGCCAACCGGCAGATATTTGGCCACTGGTGGATCGGATTCTATCATTGCGCTTTGGGACACCACTGACTGGATCTGCCAGAGGACGATAACTAACATGGTCGGGCCTGTACGAAGCATAAGTGAGAACTTTACACATCCCCCGCTTCTTCGTGCTTGCTGGTTCGTGACTGGACCAACTGACCGCATATTTAGGCTTCACCTTTGATGGCAGTTACATAGTGGGTGGAAGTGACGAAGGTACGTGATTGGGATTTCAGGTTAGCACTCCCTAAGGGCATCATCAGACTAATGACTTGGACAGGCTCTGGCCTGGAAATCTGCCACACCGAGACGGGCGATTTGGTTCACAGCTATAAGACGGCGGGACCCTGCCCCATCGTTTCGTGGGCTCCAACGAGATACTGCCTGGCGTATAGTGACCTGGGTGTTCTACGGATTGTCGGCGTAGACTCGGACCGCCGGTAGACCAAGAGTTATACATTTCGCCCAGTTTTTCGTCCAGGCGAAGCCCAGGAGTGCTGCCCAACCGATTAAGAGCGGCATGAGAATACCAAGGCGTTTGCCATTCCGTGGCATCCGGAGACTACAAGGAAAGGGGTCGCTGCGCCGTACGCCGGCTTGGTTCCAAACATAGGCGTAAGATAACCCAATGGTATGGCCACATATGGATGAGGCGCTCGACGAAAAGGGGGGGAAAGCTTCCTACAAGGACTGCCGGAGACTGGCAGCTTGGCGGATGGACTGCTTCTTCCTCTAAGAGCGTGTGTCCAAGGCAGACTACGATGGCTTGCTTGCTTGACAGCTGTCACTCATGGAGCTGGCCGTGTGATGACGAATTGTCTTGTCGTGGGGAGTGGAGTGGTGCAACCTGGAAGTACACTGCCTGCAATTACCTTGATTTCGGGTTTAAGCTTTTTGCAAAGGTAATGTTATGCGTCGTCGGCAAACTTGATGAATGTGTGCACGTATAATATACACAGACCCCCTACCGGCCAACGGGTCAAGTTCTTTAATTTCCATGTGCGTGCTCTTCATGCCTCTGCACTAAAGTCGAGGGTGGTATCTTGGTCGCGGCGTTAGGAGATTCTTTCTGCATGCTTACTCCGTCCTCAGCTTTCGCCATATACTTCCAGAGTACATTTGTGATGAACCAACGCTTGATTCTGTCATGGTGGCGGGTGCGGATTCTATTAATATCTCCTTGGTAGTGGACACTGCAGATGTACAGAGACAAGGTTGGGGATTTGAGGGGTTAAAATGAGATCTGCAATGCACTTTGATCCCGACCAACGACAAGGTACCTTTACCAAAGTCGTGAACTTTGGTCTTGGGACCCTTCACTGATCTTGTTGGAGGCTATTTTGGGCCTCTCCCTGGTCGCAATGCTGGACATAATAGCTTGAATTGCTCGATCGTTTTCGATGTTCCCTGTCCCGTGGTCGCAAGGAGAGGAGGTATTTATTAATAGATCAAAATAGAGTGTCTTCTTCAGAAAATCGTTGGATGGTTCTTGGGGCATGGATGAAATTTGAAGTACACTACGAGTACGGGCGCGAGGTACATCGTAGATTTTCTTGATTGGGCGGTCAGCTCCGTACTTTACTGAGTATTATTAATGCGCTGGGGCTGTAGAGTTGAAAAGGAGTACCGCACTAGACTCGAGCACAGTCGCAGCATTAAGAGAGGAAGTTGCCTTTGACCTGACCAACAAGTACATCGTACTACTATCACCCTGAAAGTCAAACCCACCTCTTTCCCTCGACGGCGTATTCCTCGCATTCATGGGGCTGTGTTGGGAGAACTGATTGGCGAGGGAACGACCCTGAGAGAAACTGCGTGTTGGATGGAACATGAACTCTACCAAGGCATCACTACCACTGCCACTGCCACGACTTCATCCTTGGTTGGCACCACCACTCGACAATACCCAATTGTTCTAAGAATATGCTCCTGCTCTGGGGAAATCGATTTGATGATTCAAGGCAGGATAGCCAGCTGAGAGCCTGAGAGCCCTCACACCTCTGAGGGCAACAAGGAGCACATCTACCTCTCTTGAGGATGGGAGAAACCCGGACCGCGTGGCTGCATGCTTTTTTCCGACTTCGTACCAGCGTGAACGAGCGTAGTACCAAGATAGGCAGCAAGATGATGATATCAACCCGCAATGCAAGAGGCAGAGCAGACCAGTCTGAGAGTACAAGCCTAAGAAGTACCTTGCGCTATCACATCACTGGGACTGGGAGAGGGACAGTGAAACAGTGCCAACCAGCCGTCCACCACCCACCAAATCGTCTATCAACACTGTGTAGCAACCGCTAGGGGTTCTCTGTTGAATGTTGACTTCTCTGGCCCAATATCCTCAGCGGACATATCCTGTACCATACTAACTTTTACCCGAAGGGAAATGTCAAGTAACTGGACCTGTGTACTTCGATAGGAAGGCGGATTGAACTGCACAGTCTGATTTTCTGGTCCATTTTCCCTGGCACCCTTCACAAGTTACTACTTCGTGCAACCCCCCCTTCTCCTTTGCCCTTTATTCGTGGTCGAGTCCAGTGGCTGGTGGATCCTGATTGTGACCGCGCAGAAAGCCAAAGTCAGGCCTTCCATTTTTCAAACTGGTATTGCATGTCATGTTAGGCAATTGCAGAATTCTAGAACACGCTTCCTCAGGATAACGAGCTTACACGCCGCGTGAACGAGCAGACGACGACATAGATTACTCGTGACGACTACTGCCGCTATCGACGATAACGACGACGAGCTCCAATAGAGCATCACCCACTTCAATCCGAGCCCATTCTCGGGACGTCACCTGTGCAGCCCCACCGTCATTCTGACTTCTTTTGCGCCGGTCTGACCTTGGCGATTTCTATACGCCCTTGTTTGTTCCTTCGAGACGTGGATTTTGTATGGTTCTCCATCATCGCTTCGTCGGTTTAGCTAGCCCTGGTGCCGCGACTGTCATCACCGTAGCTTCAGACGGATCGACCGACACCCCTGATCGAGCCGTTGTTCGCACATCCGCCCCGTGAATCCCCCCGTCTCACCACCTGATCCATTGCTTTGTTCCCCGAGAGATCCCGTGGACATGTCCTCCAGCACGGCAACCCCCCCCGAAAATGACGTCGTGGAGATCCCGCCCCCATCGCAGAGGCGGCCTCGCAGCCCCAACGCCGACGGGGCCGTTCGCGAGCCGACCGACAACTCCAGCGTTCCGAAGCCGAAAAGACTCGCCTGTATGATATGCCGGAGGAGGAAATTAAAGTGCGATGGCGTGCGCCCAAGTTGTAGTACCTGCTCCCGACTCGGTCACTCCTGCGCATACGACGAGGTGCGGAGGAAGAGTGGCCCCAAACGCGGTTATGTGAAGGCTTTGGAGGAGAGACTAAGTAAGAACGATGCCGTTCTCCCAAAGCCCTCGTTCCGTATTCTAACACACGACCTGCAGAGCAAGTAGAGACGCTTTTGAAGACGCAAGAACCCAACGCATCCCTCGCAAACCCTTCCAAATCCATCCCGATTCCCCTCGAAAATGGCGTTGGCCGGTCTCAACCACCTGGCGCGCCAACGAACTTCGCCGTTCCAAACCCGTCCATCCCGATGGCGAGCGACCAGGACCGGTGGCAGTTTAACGGCGAGTCTCCGCAGACCGCCGCCGTGGAGGAGTTTAACTTCAACGGCAACGTGCCCATGAATATGAACAATATGAACGGCACATTTACTTGGGAAATGATTGGGTTAGGTCTTGAGGAGCCGCTTCCTACACAAGACACTATCGATGAGCTGTAAGTCAAGACCCAAGATGGCTTCAACTCATTCCCCCCCAAACGATATCCCCTCTTTTTACTCTCCTGAAATGTGGATATCTTGGCAGATAGATGGCTAACTTGTATGTCGACTGCTAGACACCAACTATACTTCGAAAAGATCCATCCATCAGTACCGATGATCCATAAATATAGATATCTTGCCGCTATGAACCTGTAAGTGCATCGGATACCCGCCGCCGCCCAGGTCGTCTAGTAATTTTGCCCTACTAACCCGAACTAGAGCCCCCAACCAACGGCCTCCGGTTGCATTGCGATACGCGATATGGACGCTCGCATGTTCCATCACCGACAAGTACAGCGACTTGAAAGACCTCTTCTATCAGCGGGCAAGGAAGTATGTGGAGGCCGACTATATCAAAGGCTATGGAGAACACATGATATCCGTGGCCCATTGTCAGACCCACGTTCTCCTCGCGTGTTATGAACTCAAAATGATGTACTTTCCAAGGGCGTGGATGAACACGGGTGCTGCCGTCAGGTTATGTCAGATGTAAGAACGACACCCCCCTCCCCTTCGTTTGGCCGGTTTATATCCGATGTTAGGAATCTGTGGGGCTGATAACAACTTGTTCGGCAGGGTTGGACTTCACCGGTTAGATGGTGCAGGCCTCGACGTGAAGCAATGCCTACCACCGCCTAGAGACTGGACGGAGCGCGAGGAACGGCGGCGCACGTTTTGGATGGCCTTCTGCGAGGACCGATACTCCAGCATCGGAACCGGCTGGCCCATGTCGGTTGACGAGCGGGATATCATGACGAATCTGCCGGCTTCGGAAGAAGCTTTCGAGATGAGCCGTCCCGAACAGACTCAATCCCTCCAAGATGCGATGAGCCCTTCGGGCGCCACAAAGCTGTCCTCTTTTGGGAGCATAGTGCTGATGGCGAGCCTCTTCGGCAGGAATCTAATCCACCTCCATAGGCCTGATCCAGACGACAGGGACCATGATCTGAATGGTGAATTCTGGAAGCGACACAGGCAGATGGACCACATCCTGCTCAACACGTCACTCTGTCTCCCGCCTCAACTGAAGCTGCCGGCCGGGATGAGCAACCCCAACATCGTCTTCACCAACATGAGTATTCACACGTCAACAATATGTCTGCACCAGGCTGCGATCTTCAAGGCCGACAAACATAAACTGCCAGGCTCCGTTAGTTCGGAGAGTAAGGTCAGGTGTATAACGGCTGCGAACGAGATCGCCAGCATTATGCGAATGATCTCTCACACAGATCTTTCTTCGGTACGTTGCCGAGAAATCGAGGGGACACTCTATTCAGCAGAGCTAACGTAAGAACACGGGAACAGATCAATCCTTTCGTGTGCTTCTGCCTATACGTGGCGGCACGCGTTTTCGTTCAGTACCTTAAGAGTCGCCCAGACGACAGCCAAACGGCCGACTCGCTGAGGTTCCTCCTCTCAGCGATGAACGCGCTGAAGAGGAAAAATCCACTCACCGAGTCGTTCTTGGTTCAGCTCGATGTCGATCTGGAAGCTCTTGCGATGAGGATTCCGAAACTGAAAACTGCATTTCCCCGGAGTACCGATAGTGTAAGTGGCAAGCGATTCTCTTTCTCATCGTCCTATCTCCGAGATTAACACATCTAATGCTAGCCTGCACCAAAGTTCTCGGCTCCGAGTAGCGACGCTGTGCGGAATTGTGAAAACCCAGACGGCGTCGGCGGCATTATGGCGTATCGAAACGAATGCCACTTCATGAGGGCCGAAGAGGATGACGCCGATCCCAGGAACGCGCCGAATATCGTCGACCCGGAACTGGAGAGGCAAAACAGCGCCAGCACCGGTCTGACGCCGGAGGGCCAAAACTTCGGAACCCAATCGTGGATGGCGGAGCAGCAAATGGGCCCCGCTCGGGAGGCTCATGGCATGCCGATGCAAGGGATGTCGGTGATGCAGCCGGGATCAGCGGGGATGGTCGGCTTCGTCCAGAGCGAAGGTAGCGGCGACTCGAACGATATATCCGTCTCACCCGGCGCGCAATCCAGCGGACCCACGCCGAACTCGAGCCACGCGTCCGACCCCAGCAAGAGTCGGTCCGCGGGCGGTCAAGTCGGCGGCTCCGGAAGCAACTCGTTCAACGCCAGCCCCGCACCGACGCACCAGACCATCCCCTCGCAGCCGGGAGGAGTCGATGGTGCGCCGGCGAACTTTTACGGCGCGAATGCGTTCGGCATCTCGAATCCGGGGATGGCTCCGAATCAGAGATACGCCGTGCCGCAGCCGGCGATGGCGGATTTCGGAATGGCCGGTGGCTGGAGCGATATGCCTGGTCAGCAGGGCATAGAGCCTGTTGCGGAGGGCGTTTTAAGGTCGCTTATGAATATGGGACCTATGGATGCGATGGATCTTTCTTCCTGGGAGTCGGGGAATTAAGACTCGGCTGTTCCCTTTGACACCCACTCTCCTTGTTTGCTCCATCCCTCTCTCGCCCGGGCCGCAATGGCTCTTCGGCCCTTGTTAACACGCTTTTCTCGACAACTTTCCCCTTTTACCCCTCTTCGCTGGCCATTCATTCACCTCGAGGGCGAGGTTTCCGACATATATCCTGCTGCTTGCTGTATCTAGTTTTTTTTCTTTTTTCCTTTTTCTTTTCTTGAACGGTTCTTAAACGTCCCGTCTTTACTCCCCCCTCTTCTTCTTCGTCTTCTTGGCATACCTCGTGTACTACCATGTCGAATTGTGTATCTTCTCTCTCACCTTTTTTTTTTTTTTTCTACTGCCTGGATTTTCTTCGCTATTTGGACAGGGAAGGCGAAGAAGGACTCTTTTTTTTTGTGTGTGAACAGGTTGCTTCGACGGTCATCGTTGACCAGGAGAAAAAAAGAAGAATTTAATGGACGGGCGTTGTTGGGTAACGGTTCTGGAGTTTTCTTTCTTTTTTCAAATCCTAACTCTTTTTTGGTTCTTGACCTGAATTCCGAGACTTGAAATATAAAAATGAAATGACAATTCAGAAGCTATCCAAGATGCCATTTCCTTCCGCATCCCAATGAGTTCTCCCTCGTACTATTTGAGCCATATATATAGATCCGAATCTGAATACCGATGTTGTTGTACATGATTGGAAAGAAACCCACAAGGAAAGTGAGGCCAAGCTGCCATCTATCATGACGTAGAAAAACATGCCTCCTCTGGATATAAAATAAACTGCCTACCTCCTCCTGCTATATCCTTCACAAAGAAAAAAAAGAAAGAAAAAAAAAAAAAAACAAACATCCCTTTCTTCTCCCCGAATCGCTAGGGTTGACTATCGTCGCTCGTCCGCGACGCATTAGCCTTCTCCCTCCTCTTCCTAAGAAACTCCTCCCACTTCCCCTCAATCGTAATGACCTCACCCGCCAACTTCGCCTTCTGCCGGCCCTCGCCAAGGTCCTCGAGGGTCTTAGACTCGAGATACCGCTTGCCGTCGTCGTCAACGACCCATCTCTGCGGATCAGGGAGGTACGCCCAGGAAAAGACAGCGCCGAGCGCAACGAACGAGCCGAAGAGGAGGAAGATGAGGCCTTGCTTCGTCGGGCTGCTGTACCATTCCTTGATTCCGGCGATGATGAGGACGGCGATGATGCTGCCTACCTTGCCGGCTGCCGCGGAGATACCGTGGCATGTGGCACGGTAGCAGGTGGGGAAAATTTCCGCAGGTATGATGAAGGTCAACGTGTTGGCGCCTGGCAAGAGGTATTAGAAAATCTCTTTCGAGCAACATTTAAATGAGGAAGAAAAGAAAAAGGAGAAAACAAAAAAAGGAAGAGGTAAGAAAAGATTCGAATAATCGAATCAATGCCTTCCGAATTCCGTGGCTGCTCACCAAAGTTAAACATAAAGTGACAAAAGGCTACAAATGCCACAGTTGCCGGCGCTCCAGGACGCCTATTCACTCCGTAATACACGCAGCCCGTGATGACGAAGAGAATCGCAAGGACAAAGAAGGATACCGTAAGCCAAAGCCTTCTAGGGATCCTATTCACACAAATAATGAACGCAATGCTCCCAGCAATCGAAGCAACAGAGACGGTTAGGAGATACTGCATCGTCTGTTCCACGAGGACATCGTAAAGTGTGTTGCACGGCTGGGTTCGATCAGTCTGCCAGACCGGAAGGCCATGTTCCCGCCAGTAGGGGAGAGTAGAGTTGCCGCCGGGAAGAGAGGAATTCCAGCACGGGAGTGATTCGTTCAGTTCCAAAGCTCCGGTTTCCGCCCACATGTCGGATAATGTTCCTCTATTGTCTAGGGAGAGGCCGTAGAACGATACATCGAGTAGGAACCATGTCGCGGAGGTGCCTGAAGACTTGTTAGAAAGGGGTATTCATATCATTTCTCCCCCCCTAATTTCCGTGACATACCTAGAAGATAGTACCAATTCCCTTCCTTGATAAAATACTTATACAAGTCTGCCTTGGAAAACTGCACGGGCATGGGCTGCGACAGGGCGTTCTGGTGGCTGCCGAACATGTCCCCGTTGGCCTGCATGGCGAAGCCGTTGATACTCTCGGGAGGCGCACCGTACACTCGCTGGGTATTTCTCAAAGCGGTCCCGGCCTTATTCTTAACCTCCAAACTGTAAAGACCGCAATCGTAAAGGAAGAAGCGGAAGATGATGGCGAGCAGGGCCGGGGCGGCACCGGATCCGATAACGATACGCCAGATTCCGTCGACGATCTTCCTACACTCTTCTTCATACTTTGTGTTCAGACCACATTGCATGGCCTGAAGGCCATACATCTTCTCACGACCGAGAAGGACCCACAACCCAACCAGTTGGGCCAGGGCCTGGCCGATGGGTTGCATCATGAAGACGGAAGAGAGCATCCGTCCTCTTGACCTTGTGCTTGACCATTCTGATGTAATCACGGCACTGAGGGGGTATTCGCCTCCGATCCCTATTGTAAAGGTTAATGGAATGGGAAAAGATGCTTGGTGATGAGGTACTGACCGATCCCCATTACAAACCGCCACTACGAACCAAGTCTGTCAGCTGTCACTAAGGTCTGAGAAGCGCGAGGTTTGTATGAGAAACATACCCATGAGAAGAGGGCCAAAAATGACATATCTTGATAGCCATAGCTGCTCGTAGCGACACCAATGGTGGAAATTATGACAAGGACTAGTTCGATTCCGTAAAGACGAGTACGTCCGTAGAAATCGGCAAGGAAGCCGAAGAGGAATTGGCCGATGACGGAGCCGACCAAAGTGCAAAGATTGATTATTAGGCCGTGCCATTCACCGCCGTTAGGCCAATACACGAACGCAATAGAGGCTAAGATTACGTTCGTGGAGAAGAGGTTGTAGCTGTGCGGATACATTAGGTGTCAGAAAGAAGGATGACCTTGATCAATCGAATGGGGCTGGAGAGAGAAGATGGCGGGGGGGTTCGCATACGAGTCGGTCAGGAAACCCGAGGCTGCGACGCCCCAAATGCGAAGGTTCCACGAATTCAAGTCTAATTCATATCTCAATTGACTCCTATCCTACAAACGAGAGTAAGCTAATGCGCTCGTTCGGTGCGTGCGGTCGTGAAGCGTGAAATCGTGATGGTTGAGGGCGAGGACCAGGACGAACGCACTGTTTCTGCGCGTCAGGGTGAGTGAGAGGTCGCGGGCCACTTACCTGGCGATCCTGTGGGGGGAGAGCGGAGCTGTCAGACCCCAGAAATCCGCGGTTATTCCGCCTCGTCAAGTAGTCCATGAGAGGCGAAAAAAAAGGGCCGCAAATGGGCCGGGTTATAACTGGTTGAACAACGCAAGCAGCGTGTCTATCGGCGAATTGGATGAGTCAAGAGCTGGGGCGGAAGGTAGCTCAGAAGGAAGGGATCGCGGTGACGGCCACATGTGCGCTCCCATCGATGCTCTCTATTATTCTTGTTCTTCTGCTGCCCAAAGTATTCGACAAGCGCGGGAATCGGACTGGGGGGGTTCGACGGGATTTTCAATGAGAGCTCTCGAATCATGGAAAGCCGGGATAGCAGCCACACGGGACACCTGACATCTCCAAGCAAGCAAGGTCCCCTTTTTAGTTATCTCGACTAGTGGCTCGGCGTCGATGCGGGTTGGAGTCGTGTGAGGCGCGGGCAGCTAGTTATTGTAGTGAGTGCTCTCCTTCATAAGGCTTCCTCGCGGGACGAAGTAGTGTGTGCGCACTATGCTCAGCCTACAGAGTTACCAGGGTCTGCAGGAGGGAGGGGGACACAGAATAACTCGAAGGTGCGGGCAAAGAGGACGGTCGATCGGTCGGTCCAACGTACCAGCAGCGCAGGCTTACCGTAGGTGTCGTGCTGGAGGGATCAAATACAGCCAAATATTGATGCAAGGATGGAATCGAGGGCAACAGTAATAATACTCACGAAGTATGGAAATACTTCGTACTTCGTACATACTTCATATCAATCCCACTCCTGCCAGTCTTGGACTCCAAGGCTCTTCCTGGATCGTAGATGTACTTTGAGTCTTGTGCACGAGCAGGAACACAGGGCCCCAGTTGCATTGAGGATTGACCAATCGACAAGCATGAGCGGGGGGGCTTAATTGCCATCATCCCAGAGCACACAATGTCGCACACACGTGGGCAACTGGACATCTTTATAAGGCTTGAACTTGACTTCATTTACTCTGGGCAGGGCTTCCCGAACCATCGAGGGGTCTTGGCGGACCCAGTGCTTCTTTGCTTCTTTCTAAGTTTATTATCATCGGGTCGTTGAAGCTACACTGCTTCATACTTCATGCTTCGTACACTACTTGTAACCGGGCAGTCCGACCGGAGATTTTTCCAGTCGGCACCTGCCATATTTTCGTACACTCCGGAGTGCTCCGTAGGAGGATATGAAGATATCCATTTGCACGATGTACATTACAAAAAGAACATAGTATACATCAATCTGTACTCATGCCTATCGCTCCATCTATCCTGGCCGCACGGCGCATCCTCTTAACGATCAGGTCAGGTTGGGGATAGTGAGAACACTAAGCACAAAAAGTGTCTTCTTGCCCCGTAACCCGGTACAAGAAGGGCAAGTTCTCAGGTTCGGTTTCGGCTCCCTGGGGACGCCATCGAATATCGCATTAACATGCAGGGTTGGTGGAACCGGGAGACTGGAATTGGCGTCAGGCCCGTGGCACTACTAAAATACATGGAACGGGAACGGAGCTTTGGCGGTTCCGAGGTTGATTTTAATCCAATTTTGTTGGTAACCATGCAAAGTGCACCTCTCCCGACTTTGATCAACTTCGTACGACTCGCGGGAAGGACGCTGCTCTTTATTAGTCTCGAGTTGGCCACTATCCCGATCACGAGAATGAAAGCTGCAAGTGGGCAGGCATCAATCAATCGATCGATCGATACGCGTCTTGGTACCAGAAATTCTGCCTGAGAGCAAATCATCAAGGCACCCGCCGTTATGAAAGCGTAGCTTGTGTGGGAGGAGCGAGGCTAATTACTTCGTGGACCGGGAAGAAGTTGGCTACCCTGGTACCACTAGTTGTATGTATAGAGGGCCCGCTCAGGTGGAAGGAGACGCAGGAGGAATTTGAAGAAGGAAGGGTAGAAAAAAAAAAACCGAAAGGGCTGTCATTGACTCCTTCTCTGGCTGGTCTGTGGTGTAGGTTACTAGCGTGGAAAGAACGAGTGGCAAGGCTTGTTTCAACCTCGTGGCTGTGGAAAGACCTATCAGTGGTCGGAAATATGTGGAGGCGGAGAGAGGCTGTTTGGTGGGGGGCAAACCTCAGCCTATTACGAAGTACTGTTTTCGGTGTAAGCCAAACGCAAAACGGAAATAACAATCTGAGCCCCTCCCTTGACTCCCTTTCTCCCTTCCGTACAAACCGCCACTACACGAAGCCAAACTACTTCGTACGGCGCAATTGATGTGACTGTACAATTACTACAATGAGCTGTCCCCTTCCAACCCCACGCAAAGAAAGCTAAGTCCCATCCGACCTCGTCTGTCACTGATGTCGTGCTTCGACGGAGGGTCCTTGAGGGAGGGTCCGTCCCCAACCAAAAGCCAAAGCATTCGATGATTACGTTGGTTAGTGTATACAAATAATCATATAACGAAGAAACCACACTACGAAGTACCGCCGCCAAGCATCAATCAAAGTTCAAAGCTTGTGCCCGGGGCTTCCTTGCCTTCCGAAGTAGAGTCGCAAGCTAACACTGTCGTGTCTCTTTGTGTCTTGGAGCCGGAGGAGAGGAACCAACCGTTGCTGCATATGCTGGTTGCGCACTGAGCTGACGCCTTGTCCCTTCCCCAGTTTTATTACTTTTTTCTTCTTCTTTTCTTCACCCTGGCGCTCTCAGTCCACACCACTGCCGGTTGAGCTACCCGTTTTGTCTGTTCACATTCGCAAATCAAGATCGCTGTCGCAACCATCGTGAAGCCCTCAACTCTTAACACTCAACGCTCAACCCCCGGTTCAAACCTGACCCCCCCGTGGTTTCCTTGGTCGTGACCAGACCCACATCGCCAACTGTCTGAACCTTCAAAGTTACTTTGGCACGCACACACAACCACAAGCACACGCACTCGCACTCGCTCCCTCGCCCCTTCCCTGACTCGTGGAGCATCTTGTGCGCCCACGCTAAGACGGTAGGAAACGGAAACGGAAAGAGAGGGCGACACGGGTACATATAGACCGGCCCGGATATACGAAAAGTAGCGTGAACTCATCTCTGCGCCTGCGTCTCTGCCTGCCCCGCCTGGCCACCTCAAAGAGCAGGAGTAGCAGGAGCAGTAGGAGCAGGAGCAGGAACAAGGTCCATGTCCATTCGCATTAGCGGGGCATTCTACTTACTGCTTATCTCCTACATACCGCACGCCTTTCTTTGGATGTAAACTCCCACCACTACAACAACAACCCACAGCCAGCAGCCCGCAGCCAGCAGCCAGCAACCAGTAGCCACCACATCTGAACTGTGTTGGCTGACGGATGCGCTTGTCTCAACGTGCGTCTAACTGCCCGTCTCCTGCGCACGCTGTCAAATTTGTGGCCAGATGCCCCGATGAAGCCTGGGGCCCTGTCCCTCAACCTGCGGCACCCGCATGCCTCCCACACTGCAGCTATTGGTACTCGACATGGATCCTGCACTCCATACTAAGACCTCGCCCTCTTTCCAGAAGTATTCCCCAGTTTCTTCGCCATTGAAATCCCACGACACCATTCCTTCCGTGCCCTGCGCCGCCGAATGCCTGATACCTTCGGTTGCCGATAGACCCCCCATTCCTCAACCTTCTCCTACCCTCGCGAATGAAGTCGGCCCAACCCCCCGCTGTCGCCCAGCGCCAACCCGCAACCACCCCATCGCCTTCCCGGGGAACATACCTCTACTCTCCTCCGGCCCGAAGATCGCCACCTCTCCATCTCGATACCCGGGACCACTCGCCTTGCGCGACCCCTGCCACTGCCTCGAAATCACCAGCCGCTATGCCATGGACACCCTCTGACTCAAGAAGCATCGACTTGTACCGGCCTCTCCAGAATAGAAAGAGGAGAGGAGCCGAATTAGACGGAGGAGGAGGAGCTGCCAGTGTCCCAGCTCACTCCTCGTACGCCCTCGAACCGGGTAGACATTTACCTACACAACATGGCTGGCTCCTCGTCCTCATCCTCCTCGTTTGCCACATCCTCCCAAAGCCGCGTCCCCTCCAACTCTCAGCCTTACGTCAGCCCTCTGGACTCGACCTGGACTCCTACCTCGGGCGCTTCTGGAGGCTCTGCCGTCTCCGCACTCAGCTCGCAAGGTTCCCAGCCGAACTCACTCGGCCCTTTGGACCTTGGCCCTCCCGGATATGAAGCCACAATGTATATACTTCCTTGACACCTCCGCCAATTTTGGCGACCTGAGAGAAGAAAGGAAAATGCTGATATACCCCTGCCATATTTGTTAGAACCTTGTACGAGAATACGTCGAGAGAAAAGACAGTATACCTCGGTCCGTGGGAGGTGATTGGGTCTCACAACCGCCGCGTAGTGTGGCAATGCACCTACCGGAACGAACGCCTCGAGCATTTTGGTACGTTGAGTCAGAAGAGCTAGGGCTTCAGGGTCATTCCCAGCCACGGCCATGCCGCCCGCCCAACCGCACGCTCCCCCAGCTCAGAATATGAACTGACGCGAAAAACAGTTCCGATGGAAGACGTCTACCCTCATACCCTTCATGCTCGCCACCGACCCTATACCGACGCCGCCGATATGGAGCGTTTCCTAACCTTCCGTGTGCCCCATCGCATCAGATACACCGGCGAAGATGGAACTGTGACGTTTGACGGCGTTATGCAGGTAAAATACGAGTTCACCAGCGTTGAAAGCTCAGTTCGATTCCAGGGGGATGTGCGGGGCAAGGTGCTTCTCGACTACTATGACGTGGATGTTGTCTGGTCTGATATCAACAGCCGCACAGATCGATTTGGGAGCGTAAGGGGAATGGGCCTTGTCCAAAGGCTGAAGCTCTGGCGCGATAACTACTCGAATCTCCATTCTATAACCGTGTTTGCGAACCGTTCTTCGAGGCAATATCACGAGTACGAGCTGTATTGGTTTGACGCCGAACCGCGCTCGAAGGACGACCGGACTCGACAGATGAGACTCGGCGTGAGGGGCCGCCGCGGGAGCACATCGGATCTCAGTCGGCGGTTCTCATTTAACCGCATCCGGCCACGCCAGCGGTCCGTTCCTGGCGCGGGTCAGGGCGAATCCTCTCACGCAGCGGCAGCCAGTCCTGGCCTAGAGATAAAATATCTTGGTCTTCAGTTTAGTCACCGAGACGGTAAGTTCCCCCGTCCTTCCTATTTATAAATTGACTTGAAGGGAGCAGAATGGGATTGGAGGATCTCTTCCGGGGTGTGTGATGTATTCGGTCGTTCTCACTCTCCTTACGACCGAGGCCTACAATTGCCTAGAGCTCATGTGGGGGATTCCCTTTTGCTCCTAAAAAAAAGAGAGAAGAGAGAAGAGAAGAAGGAGGGAAAAAAAAAAAGAAATTAGCATTGGATATTTCCCTACTGTGTAAGTTGCTTGCTAACATTGGCCATCACGAATGAATAGATTATCGACGATTCCAAGAAGCCTGGGCTTACGCACATAGTTGCGACAGCGAGTTCCAAGGAATCCCGTTCCCTCAGCGTCATATCGAGCTCGAGTCGCCTCAAATCCTGCCAATGCCAGCCGAGCTCGATGGAAGAGGACTCCAGCCCGTTATCGAGCCGGATTCCGAAGACGAAGAAGATGATACGTGAAAGATTACAGAATTACGGCAACCCTATAACTATAACCGCCACACAGCTTAGGGAGTGATTACACTCCACCATCTTGGGCGGCTCGAATGGCCGATTCGGGCAGTACAAGACACGCCCCTGAGATTGAGGTCATCAAGGCCGAATGCACCATCATCACCTATCGTGCTCTACCGACGCTCGTCTAGCTTCGGTTAAAGAATGAATCAGGAACTGGGGCACGTTGCGTATTAAATCGCGAGTTTAAGAAGGCCGTTTCTCTATTAAGAATGGATCGATCGGACGGACTTACACACTGGACCTCCGGTTATGAAACACCACTTGGTTGGTGTGGATTGTTTTGGTGCGTCTCCTCGCTTCAGCTATGCTCCCCGGACCTTGGCCAGGAACCAAGGCCCTCTTCTAGATTGGATTGGGGGGCTCAGGCATGACGAGTTTATCTGTTGCTGGGGTTGGGGCCTGGGATGGAAAAAAAACGAAAAGATCCGCAGGGAACATACACACGCCACGAATGAACGCATCACTCGTTGAGGCGGGTGAGAGTGGCCTAGACACTATGCGAGGCAGACAAGCCCTACGAAGCATTCTCTGCTTTATGCGGGCGTGGTGATGATATATGATCAAGCGGAGGTTTGTGTAGGAGCTTCTCTCGGGAGTCAACGCCCGTTTTTAAAGACGGAAAGCTCTCACTCATTACTCTCCCGGCTTCACCGATGCGGCCCCTGGTCCGGATCGGCGGAACGGGGAAAGAGGATATACCCTTGATTGAGCTAGAGACAGTGCACACTACGGGCCACGAAGGAGCTCTCTTTTTTCCTTTTTTCTTCTCCTCCCGGTAACCAGGATGGTGGAGAGGGGATCATCTAGCCCTATGAGGAAACCCTTGTGATCTTCAGCTCTTCTCATCTTCCGAAATAATCAAAATCCTTCGACCAGGGAGGCGAGCAATTTCATCAGGCCAGAAGTGGGCTTGCGTCTGTAATTTGCGGCAGGCAGGATTAAATAGCTCATCTCCGCTGCCAGGGTAGCGGATTTTTTTCCCTTTTTTTTCTATTTTTATTTTCAATTTAATTTTATTTGGTTTTGTTTGATAGATGACGACGGTCCTCGTCTGGCTGTCTGTCTTCCCCGATATTGGATGGCGCGGACCGGGGGGGTGTAAGTAAGTAACTGAGAATGGGGAAAAGGAAGAAACAAAAAAGAAAAGAAGCGAGAAAAGGGACGGGAAAGAGAGGAGAGGAGGCTGAAGCAGTTCGCAAAAATAGAAGTTTCTGCCCACACCTGGGATCGAACCAGGGACCTCATCATCTCACTAGCTCTACTAGTGATGCGCTCTACCACTGAGCTATACGGGCTTGATTGCTGGGTTACTTGTGAGGGAGTGAGGAGAGGAAAGGGAAGAAAAGATTGGCACTTTCGAGGGTGGAGAAGAGAGTCGAAAGAGGTTAAATAAAATGAAATAAAAATAAAATAAAATAAATAAAAATAAAAATAAAACGATGTTAAAAAAGTTAAATGATGACAGGGAAAAGAAGAAGCACATCTTAGTATGACTTGGACGGTACAGAGAGCAAGCTACAGAGCCTGTTTCCTGTTTACGAGCTGCAGCCATCGGTTCGAGCCGTTTTCGTGCTTCCGCAAAAACCTGAATCAAAAAGCCGCTTCCTTTCTTTTTCACATGTCCGAAAAAGAAAGGTTTCCTCCACAGACGTCATTGATGGAGATGCGACGAGAGCTTGTTTCTGCGCCTTTCCTCGGCAGTCTTAGACTTTGACTCGATTCTACGCAACGTCCCCAACAGCTGGAGAGAAATTGGGACCGAGAAGGGAAAAAAAGGACCCCCGAAAAGGACGAGAGTAGAGAAACGAACTCGTCCGGGTCGTCTCCAACTTCGAGGCCGATTTGCCCACGGTCACATCATACATCCATCATACCTGGGAAAACACCAAGGCACAGAGGCATTTACTGGCATATACGAGCATTTTTTTTCATCCAATTCTGTCTTCATGTGATTTTCTCAAGCTGGACATCATCTCACAAGCCAGAGATTGCAGGTCGAGTTTAGACTCTAATTTGCTTTCAAGTTATATTCTTCCCTCTGGAAACCTTCTTGTTTGTTCCTTCGTAATGAAGTGTAGATAGATACATGAAGAATGCGCTGCTAAACCCCGTCGGGTCAAGAAGAGCAAGACTGGTAAATCATCCAAAAAGAAACCAGAAGAAATAACTCAAAAAAAGAACTTCCGAGAGGACTGATCCAGATTCCGTTTTTCTAAAAAAGACCTCCCACCCTTGTAGAACACACACACAAAAAAAAAAAAAAAAAAAAAAGAG